CCGCGGGTCTCGTGAAGAATGCTAATGGTCAATATTCTCTTCTGTAAAGAGTAATTCAATTCTTTTTGAAAATTGAAAAGACCTATACGAAACCCATCCGAGTCAAATCCTGAGTTTAAAATTTTTTTCATTTCATATACGTCTTTTCAATCTTTAAAAAGAATCATATTATGTTGGAAATAATTGGGGAAAAAAGATAACTCAGCTGATTACCATCTTCTCATTCTTCCACATATTCAAACTACTTTCTTCGTGTCTCAGGATAACAAGAAATGAATTACACTCCAATCGAAAATGAATTCAACTCCAATCGTTGATGTAATAATTATAGACGATTCACTAAAATCATTAGAAGAATTTACCTTGGACAGAAGTAGAAGGTCACCAGCGACCGCTACACAGTAACAAATGGCGATCAATAATATGAAAATGCCAACAAAAGTGTCCTTTGCACTGTGACCGAAAGAGTTTATCGCCTTGATGATACCACTGCATGGAAAAAAATGCAAATCGATAATTCAGAAATTGTTTCGATGGTGTCAAATTACTATCTGTACTCATTGTAATTACCAAGTGCCAGCGCCAGGTATTCCAATAGCCTGAATACTCGTGACAACGAGTTGGAAGAAGAATATGAAGAAAAAGACCATGAAGTTGATGGAGCTGTCGGTCTTGAATGCTTTGTACGCCGGCCGGAACCAGCAGATGAATGAGAATGGTGTGAAGAGAATGAAGTAGAGAATACCGAGACCGAATGTTCCAAACTCCCCGTCTGCCAACAGCAGGACCAATCCTCCCAATACATTGAGTAGTAATACTAAACCGTGAACTGAAAGAAGTGAATAAAATATTATTATTTGATTGAATTAACCAAATTTTTCGTTGAATGAACGTCAATTTTAACACTTTCTACTCACACATCCAGAGGTAATACAGGTGTCTGACGATTCTTTGAAAATTTGGTTGAATTTCAAAGTCAATGTCTTGGTAAAAGCACGGCTGGAAGCAGCACTTATCGGGTAATGGTGGCCAATTGTTTCCGTTGGCTGGAAAAATTACATCAAATTATGGAAAAACTCTTCTAGGTGGAAGAGGGGGTTTCTCTTTGGAATATCCAAGTGCTTGGTCATTTTTTCCTTCGCGGAAATCCTTTGCAATATTTTTACCCTAGGTTTGCGAACATTTGTCGATTATTTCATTATTTAAATTGACGGCTTGAAGTTTACGACAAGTTTTTGAATTCAATTTTTTCAAGAAGGTTCTTAAAGTCTGAAATTTCTTGAATTACGAACTCTTTCGTTAATAATCTACAACCAATTAATTTTGAAACCTGAACGTAATTTTGGTGACATTCAAAATTCCAGCAGAATTCAATTTTATGCCTGAGCAAAGGCATAAAGGGTTTTCAAAAGTTTAAACTATTGACAAAATCCGTTTATGAAAAGGGAAGGCTTATAAAAATGTGATTTCTGGTCGATTATACTTTGAATGCAACAGTCCTAAAGACACTCAACAAATAAGTGATTGACAGTGGGAGGAATTTTTACAGAGATCTATTTTTCTCTCAGTTCGCTCCACGAAAAATGTCTTCCCCAAAATTTTGCTATCTTCCTCAGATCCGAAGATATCCATGAAAGCCTCACTGATTGTGAAGTCAAGTGGATTTATCTCGTTATCACTTAATACTTAGAACATTGACTGATTGAAAAGTATCACTCACGAGGATATGACGGTCGTCTCGCCTCCTCCTCAGTCCTGGCTTTCCACTCCTCCTCAGCCCTCTGTTGCTGGAAAATCAAGCATTTCGATATTGGAGAGAATAATAATGACCTGGCTTGGTGACAACAATAGACCTTTTCATTCTCAAAGTCAATAGGCTCTCTGTCGTGAGTTGACATAATTTTTGAGGATTTGGATTTAGGAATAGAAATAGTCATCAGCATTTTTCATCATTATTAATAGATTATGGTGGACCTCGTAGAATGAAATATTCAAAAATCACTTTTTAAACAGCTCAACACATTTGAATGTCATATCACAGAATAATTTAGACAGAGGTAGAATCGCGAACAGTGTTAACAAAAAATGAAGTGAATAATGGAAGGAATGCAGTAGAATAAAAATAAGAGGTATTATCATATTCTACCTCTGACCTCAATATTTTCATAAATAAAAAAACAGAAACTGGGGTGAATAGGCCAAATGCTGGACGGTTAAGGGAAATTCGAGTATCGTGGTAGCATCTAAAATAAAAGAATCACCTGAATGGGAGTATGATGGCTTCCATACCTTCAAGAAAGTTTTAATTAGCAGAAAAAAATTATTTCAAGTGCAAATACCGAAACAAAGAATAATTAAATTAAGAAAGAACAAGGGCCATTTTTTTGTATTTATTAAATCTCGATGAATAGAAAAAATAATTGATCACATGATTATACACGAGTAATATTATTGAAAGGTAAAATAATCAGTACAATTTTCATTTTATTTATGGAATATTCAATGCAAGTTGAAATCGTCTAGAAATTAGCGTGTTTATCCTAAATCTATTTTTGCAATAAAAGTTTTCAATCTCGGCGCACGGTTTGCATGTTTGGTACAAAAAAAATCCTTTTTTGATCATTTTCAACAAACGGCTTTTTTGGCACAATCAAGACTTGTTTAAGAACTTTGCTGTTTTTCTCTCAATGTAACTGTGATCTCAACATTTTCTCAAATAAAAAATCAGCGACTATTCAATGCTAGAATTCGAAAAGAGCCTGAGAAAGCTAAAATCTCCAGCATTGTCATAATTTTTTCCAATATCCCTCTATTCCCCTGAAAAAATCATTATCAAAAAGACAAGACCCATTACTCCATAAATTCCCCGACCCAAAGCCACCAGATTCATCGATTACCTACCTCAGCACTGGGTGACAACGTCGTAGGAACAGTCTGCTGTGGTGATCGTGCATACGCCGGAGGTGGTGGATCTTGATTTGTCGCCGGTAATGTGGCTGGAACGGGTGTCGCTCCATAACCACCGTAAAGGGGTGGATTTGATGCACCACGAACTTGCTGGGCATTTGCTTGTGATCCAGGCTCGGCAAATGGATTGTAATCCTCAATTCCTCGAGGAATAGGATTCGTGCCTACTGCACGCTGCACCGAGGGATCCTGACACCGCAAATTGTGTAATTATCATCACGAGAAAGAAGCTAGGAAAAATATTATCTCAGGGAGAAACGAATGCTCCAGCCGCAAACATTTTCATTCCAATCAATTCAAACAATTCAAACAATTTGTTCTATTATTCTTTCTGGATAAAACCAGATGAACTAATAATTATTTAGCAATCGATATGCTGCCATTCTCAAAAACTCGTGTAATTTATTTTAATGTCCAGAGAAATAAATGGATGAAACGTGGCAGATAACAATATCCTTTGTGCCCTCCGGTGAAAAAAAAAATCTGTCAACATCTAATATTACACGGAAACCTGACGAGTTTTAAATACGCAGTAATGACTCACAAACCGCGATATTCACTCGGACATTTTTGACATATCGTCCATGATCCGATCACTCCAATCAGTCCCAATGATCTCTCATCACTGGTTATTGGTTATAAACGTCAAAAAATTATTGAATAAACTCACCGAGAAGGGATCGTTGACAGTTGGCTCGCCAAAGGGGTTTTCCTCGAAGCCAGACATATTTTTCCAGAATTATTAGACTAACCTGTAACACTTCTGGTCTTTCGTTTTATCGAACTCTTTGATGGATGGACAATCTAAACAGCACGGGGATGAGACATATCTACAGCCGAGTGTTCATTATTTTCTCGGTTATTTTTTGCATGGAAAAATCCACCGATAGCCTATTCGGTGTCAGAGAGGACGTGGCCCCAGACGAAAACTAAAGAGTGACGATTCGTTCGAAGCACAAGTGAATTGAGGGGAAAAATTTCATTGGCCGTTGCCAGTGGACTAATAATGCCATTGGTTCATTAATGCAGCGGGCCAACGACGCAGAATTTATCATTTTTACCATCGCCCGGTCAAGTGGAGTGAACTGACTGCAGATAAAACAGTAAGGGAGGGGATAGTATGTACAATCATCAGAGATTGTAATTCGCTTGAAATGAGAATAATCCCGTCATATTTCTCCGTGCCGCTGCACTAAAATTTCGGCTGGTAAGATATTTCCTAAAGATATCTCTAATACCGAGCCCTGTTTAATCACCTGATCAGAATTTGTCCATCCGGGAATGTAACCACAAATTTCCGTGCCCATCTTTTCACCTCCGTCCGTTCTGTCCCCTCGAACGTGTCGTGTAAACGGAATGTGTCATGTGAGATTGTCACGACCGCCCCCCCCCCCCCCCCNCCCCCCCGCGCCCTTTTAACAAAGAACTGTATTTTGAGGTTAAAAGCCCGGCATCCTGTGTTTATCTATGTTTTTTCGTGATTTTCTCATTGATGAATTCGTGATAATATTAAATGTCTGGGTCCATTAGACAATTGGAGGAGCGTCAGTTGCCAGCGGAGGTGACACTGATGCGATGGTCACCCAAGATGGATCTCCTGGCGGTTGCCAACAAGAAAGGTGAGAGAATCCTTCTTCTAAGGACGAAACATTTGCTGATGTTTTACTCGAGAGCCAGCAGTTCTGAAGATATTCGGTAAATAAGTTCCTGATTCTCTGATTTTTGTCCACAAAAAATTTGTTCCCAAAAATTTCCCTGTCTCCCTCAGTTCCCAGACTGTCCATGGAAATGGAGTGGAATTGTCTCATTATCACTTTATAATCATAGAATGAAATATCTAAAAATCAAGTTCTAAATAGCTCGACGCGTTTGAATATTAGAGGTACAACAGCAAATAGTGTTCACAAAAAACCCCGAGGCCAGGACGGTTGTTTCGCCTCCTCCTCAGTCCTTGCTTTCCACCCCTCAGTCATCTGTTGTTAAATAAAACAAAGATTGCCATAATCTTTCATCATTATTAATGATTCCCCCAGGTTTTTTTTCATTTCATAGAATGAAATATCCAAAAATTAATTTCTAAACAGTTCGACGCGTTAACAAAAGGCGGATTGAATTTCATACTTCCTTCAACAAAAAAAATCAAGTCCAATGAATTAATGCCCCCAGGGGAAGTGGCACTTCACCGTCTCACCTGGCAACGTGTGTGGCTCCTAAACCCCCCAGAGGAATCAGAAACCGTCTCCAACCTCTGTTGGAGACCCGATGGGAAGCTCCTGGCAGTCACCTACCAGAACTCTCGAACTCTCCATCTCGTGGATATCGAGAACAAGAACATCCTTCACAAGAAGGGTTATGAGTCCAAGGGGAAGGTGACGTGCATCTCCTGGTTACCCATGGACAATCGAATGTCCTCAGATTCTGATAACTCCTCGCAAAACTCGAAGTCCATGGCCTCACCGACTGGCAAATATCTCCCACCTCTTCCAAGTCTCAACAGAGGATTCAGTCAAGAGCCTGAGAGGAAGGACTTTTTGTTTCATTCTCTGGACATGCTCTTCGTGAGTTGATGCTTTCGATTATACAAATTCATCACCAGTTTTGATGGAATATATGGCATAATTGAAAAGGAATTTGCGTAGAGATATTTTTTCTTTATTTAGAAATTCTTTATTTAGACAGTAGGAGTAATCATAGTCCAGCGATTAGTCTTTATAGCAAAGTTTGCACAAATTTGCAAAGATCTATATTTTCGGAAATATCCTACTTTGAGAAGAGACATGCATTCACGCTTTCATGATGGTGAAGAATATTTATTAACAAAATCTGCCTTCGAATTTCCATTCCAATAATTGAATATCAAATGAATTTCGCAATCTTGTGCAACGACACGAGACTTTTCATTGAATATTTCAATGTTTTTGCTTCCGAATGGGAGCGTTGTAATCGTTCCAATTTAAGTTTTGGATTTTTGATGTTATATCGACCCATTATGATCCAAAAAGTACGAAAATGCAATTGTTTGACCGTGTCCGCTAATGAATCGATGGAATTGAATCTTTTTCCTCAAATGTTGGTATTGTTGAGCCCTATCGATCCCCATTAATTAAAATTTAATTCATTTACTAATTTTTTTTCATTTTTTAAATTTTTTTAAAATTGTTTTTTACGATAATTAAAAAAAATCTTCTGAATTGATTGAATGATAGCTTCAAAAATTTGTTTGGATGTCCTTTTGACCGAGTTCGAAGATGAAGGCGATAACAATCGTTATTTTGCTTTCTTTGAAAATTTCGAAAACTCTGTATTTTTTGAAAATCAGAATTCCGGGGATATTTTTGGATATCATGCTTCAAATGAATTCAATCATAGCTCACAATGTTTGTTTCAAAGTCACTAAGTTGAAGTTAAAAGATGATTACGATAGCTATAGTGGTTGATTTGATTTTAATGATTGTTGAAAATTTCGAATTTTTCATAAATTTCCCTGAAAGTGAGCTTTAAAGTATGTACCATAAAAAATTTTCTATTAACATTTTATCGAAGGGCTGAGGCAAGAGATAGAACTGTAGAAAAGACAATTGGTTGTATAGAAGAAAGGAATAATAAAAATAATGATGATGATGACATTCACCTAATTGGAAATTCTGACAAAATTAGTTCAGCAAAAATCCCATTCAATTTAATAAAATGAAATAAAGAATGAATTACACATAATAGAAGGAAATGATAGGCAAAATAACTATACTATATTCAATACAAGAGCCATTTCCCACTTGTTTTTTTTTTCTTTATGCATTGCAATGATGAATTTTACATGTGACGAATTGTCCATATGATGAAATGAGCTGTGTGCAGCTGTCAATAAATTGAATAAAAATCTCTCTTGACAGCTGGGCCACGACGGAGGTGAAGTAACGATGTACGTCTTCGGGATGTTCTACTGTGGGACGATAAAAGTAGGGCAAGGTTCAGTCTCGGAGATAACTGGTGGCTCGGGCAAGCCCATCTTCGTCTCCTCCAAGACCCCCCAGGGAATAAAAGTGAATCGTTTCTCCTGCGTCCTTCTGGAGAAGTCCGCCGCCTTCCTGAAAGTAGCGCAGGTCCAGGCGAACGTGGAGTGCCTCATGGATTACCTGTCCCACACGTTGATGGCGATATCCGAAGCCTGGGAGACGATTCTCCTCGAGATGGATGAGAAACTGGCGAGGTACGAGGAGTGCGATGTACCAGGAACTCTCGCTGCCGATTTCCTCGAGCTGCTGATGATCGGAATCCCAACGCCCAAACTCAAGAACTTTCTTCTTCGAGATTTAACCGAGAAAGGACTGAAAAAATTGGGCCACAGCATCGAAATCTGCTACAGCAACATTCAGAAACTGGTGCTCAAGCATCTGAACAGTGTGGGGATGGCGTTGGTCTATCAGCTATCAGAGATGAGAGGAATGGCGCGACTCGGTGGTCCCTATGAAGCTTTGGGACTGAAGAACGAAGAATCGATCACAACAGCTCTTCATGCCTCCGAAGCATTCCTTGCTAAATCATCTGAGATCCAACAGGTTATCGATCACAGCATGAGGGACTACAAAGCATTCTTCAGGTAATTTCTCATTTATCCGTCACATTAACAAAATAAATAAATTTGTTTTTCTCAATTGAAATTACAGAAATGCATGCTCAGTTCCAAAATGATAATTCTTAAGTTGAGAATATTTACTCTTGCTTTCAGAGAAAAAGTATTTTTTTTCATCAATTTTTAATGTGAAGTTCAAATTAATTGTTATCAATTAATGAAGGGGGAATTCTGCGATCGAGTACGATATTTTGTCTTAAAATTATGGCAATTCATCCTGCAAGAAATTTATATTTCGATATTTATCAATCATTATAATCTCCAGAATTTTTGGGGAATGTTCAACATCAAGATTGTTAATTAGATCTAGAAACCACCTGTAAATGTTTTTATTTTGGCAGAAAATTCACGAAATTTGGAATCTTTATATTTGATGAATAATCAATGTCAATATCTTGGATTTCCCAATAATTGAGCGATTTTTTAGCGATTTTTAAAAATCGGCTACAATTTCAAGTTGATTTATTATTATTAAATATAAAGATCAATTTCTCTGCCCTTCTAATCGTCATCAAGTTTCCAACCCCGAGCCCCCAATGGCCTAAAGCCCGATACAAAATCTTTTCCAGATGGCTCTACGTCGTAATAGCAAAATTAACCGACGAGAGAGTCCCCTCAGAGGCCAGCAGAGTGAGTCAGCAAGAGTTGACGTTCATCGCAGAGTTCCTCAGGGGTTTCGACAAGAACGATACTGGTAGTCGAAGGAAAGGGGTGAACCTGGAGAAACTGGGGCAGTACCTGCGCCGAGAGAGCCTTCAGATTCCCCTGACCCCAGAGGGTAGTGAGTGGGCGATCCTCTTAACCGAGAACAAGTGCCTGCACGATCATCCTCTCATAGTCAAGCAGGATCTGAACTGCTCGTTGCTCCAGTCACACCTGAAGCTCGTGGAGGCGGTCACAGGGGTCTTCTCTGAGGCTTACAAAGGCCTCACGTCTCATTTCGTGGTTAGTTCAACAGTTCTACCGACATTCGAAGCCTCCACGTGCACTCAGGTGGTGAATCTCGAAGGGGATCTCGTCATCGCAGCCTCTGATGGGGATCACAGGTCCCTCAGGATTTTCAAAGTCACCTCTGGAGTTGGCGAGGGAAAACTAGGGTTCAAAGCTTCAGTTATTTCTGTTGATAACAAGCACACGTCCTTCTCCAAGACCATCACCGATTTTACCATCAGTGATATGCAGTTCTACTCGCCCCAGTTCCTCAGTCTTCTGTTATTAAACCAGAATAATCTCGCTTCGACTCTGGTGCAGCTGAACATCAGTGAGGAACAGATATTCAATGATCAGGAGGGGGACCCCGTGTTTCTGAGTGAATTGGTCGGGCCCAACTGGCCCAGGAGCTTTCAGGGAATCTCTGCGAGACGACTGGCGGTCTCAGGCCCCAGAAAAGTCGCTGCTGTCCTCAGTGAGAACAGCAAGAAGATCAGATTACTCGAGACTGAGGTGGAGCCTGAGGACGAGGAGGACGATGAGGAGGATGAGACTGGGGACGACAGCTGGGAGACCTCTGGCAATCTCATGGAGACCTCCGGAAATAATACCTCTGGCGTCACTACGTGAGGAGCGACAGAATGTGTGTAAATATGGGTAAATGTTCTTTTTTATTCATTAAGTATTTGTTTATTAAATTCGTGAAAATGATGTATAGGAGTTTCTTATTCAGTTCAGAGTTGTCAATTGGTCGAAGTAATTCACAGGTCGTGGAACTTGTGTAAATATGTTGAAATAGTTTTTTTTATTCATTAATTATTCGGTTAATTTTTAAGAGCTATATTTACAAGTTTCTTATTCAGTAATTCTAAGTTGTAAATTGGTTCAAGTAATTTACAGATTTGTCGATGAAATTCGAGTTCTTCGGTGGATTTTTCGGTTTAGAAAATTTGTAATTTGTAGCAGAAATACTCCTCATGGGGTTTGAGCGAATATTTTTTGAAGATTCATGTTAGGAGTGAAAACACTTTTTCGAATTGGAGTTTGGATGATTTTTTTGCGGGGGATTTTAAAACCATTTTTGAGGGATTTGGGTGATCAGGGCAATGTGTCCTCTTTCTGCAGCTGTTTAAAAACCTTTGGGAAGTCCACGTCCAATCCTGCGTTGTCGATTCCCCCAGATTCCACTCGTGAGGGACCCGCTGGAGCCTGCGGCTGGTTTTCTCGGTATCTGGCTGGAGAACCTTCCCTCGACTCTTCCAAATCTGAAATAGAAGGAAAAATCCATTAAACAATGAGTTAAAGAAAATAACAAAAGAGTCAATTCCCGATTTTGGTTAATTATGGAATTAGTGAGGGAATTATTAATTGTAATGGACATGTAGACATTTTTTTGTAGAAAGATTCTCCAGCTATGAAAATCTGTCAAGATTCTCTCCTGGAGCTGCTCACTCTCAATCTAGTCGAGTAATTGGAGCGAATCCCCACGTTTTACGTGAACAGTTAAAGCTATGAAAAGTTATTGTTATCATTAGTGACCTCTCATAGTTACATTCGGAGATAAAAATTCCTCAAGAACAACTTAAAGAGTAACATTGACCCATTTTCTATAAATTATCGCAGATTCTATCGTATCACAAACTGATTATTTCGAATCAAAGAACCGGGCATTTCCTTTTCTCTTGATAGTAACAATCAATAGTTGGTCTATCATGAGTGACCTCTTCTAGTTACATTCAGAGATAAAGTTCTTCATGAACAACGTAAAAAATACCATTGACCCTTTTTCTATAAATTATCGCAGACTCTATCGTATCACAAACTGATTAGTTCTCACCAAAGAACCTGGTATTTTGTTTTCTCTTGATAGTAACGATCAATGGTTGTTCTAGTATGAGTGACCTCTCGTAGTTACATTTAGAGATAAAAAACCTTCACACACAATTTAAAAAATACCATTGAACTATTTTTACATAACTTATCACAGATTCTATTGTATCACGAACTGATTAATTCTCACCAAAGAACCTGGCATTTCGTTTCCTCTTCATAGTAATGATCAATAGCACGACCGCAATTCCCACGACAACCACCATAACCGCAGCCATTCCACGAAGTAAATTAGTCTGTCAAAAAAAATGTCATTATCATCCTATTGAAATAACCCCGAAAATTAATTACCTCGTAGTCGTTCTCCCATACATCCTCCCAGTCTCGCGTCACAACGAGCTCCACAGTGTGAATATTTATCGCTGAATGATCGTTCACTCCTCTCGAAACGCATTTGTAGAAGCCGGCCTCTTTGCTGGACACACCCTAGTAAAAATTAAACAATAAGAATGTTTCATTCAACTGTCAATTGCATTTTGCAAAAAATTCATTCATATGCATGCAAGTCTTTCAAGAGATATGAGATATTCTTATGTCCTTGGAGTTAATGAATTACACCCAAGTAAACTGAATTTTTACGAGAAGATGAAATTGCTCGTAATTAACTGATGAAGATGTCAGAATTCCTCGCGTAATAAATCCTCAGTGACATAAATCATTAAACCAATTTAGTCTTTTTTTCTTATTGGTCTATTGACACTTCAATCGTTTACAACGAACCCAATGATTGAAACAATGATAAAGGAAATTATTCTCATACCAACTGCCGTCGGTGTTGCTCGGGGAATTTCTTTCCTATGAATTTCATTTTTTCTCAAATTTGAAATTCTCCGAAAAATATTCTTAGAAAACTCAAAAATATTCTTGAAATTTATAGAAAATTCAAGAATTTCTTTTAAAACGCGAGAATGTTCGAGATTTTTTTCAGAAAGTTGTAGAATTCTCTAGGAAATTCTATAATTTTTCAGTAGTTTCTATGTTGCATACTGCACTATGCGACTAGTGGATTTTTTTTTTCACTATTACATTATTTTCGAGAAAATCCTGGTATGCAACGTTAGCAGAATAAGATCCAAAAATTTTCTCAGATTTTTTTAGAAAACGCACGCATTTTTTCAAACTTTCTAAGAGACCTACTATTTACTATTACTATACCTGCTTTTTACTATTACATAGTTTAGGGTCCCCAATCGGCTTTAGGCTATAAGTTATTGCGCTACAATGCATAGTTTAGGATGCACCGTAGAAACTTCTAGAAAATTCTAAAGCTTCGGGGAAAATTCCAGGAAATTTTCCGGTTTTCGAAAAAATTTGAGAAAATTTTCAGTTTCACAGAAAATTCCAGAAAATTCTTTGGTTTGACAGAAAATTCGAAAGAGTTCTTGAATTTTCCAGATAATTCGAAGGAATTCTCGGGTTTTCTAAAAAATTTATTTTTGTTCCAATGGAGCAATTTAATTTCAAATTCTGATTGACTAGCTGTGTGGCCCGGCTTCGCCAATTTCAATTTTAAAAAAAATCTCAATGTTTTCGATTTTTCTACAATACCCGAGCAGTGAAGAAACATCGAGGGTTTTCCAAAAAAATTGCGAAAATTCTCAGGTGTTCTCGAAAAGTCGAAAACATTGAAATGTTTTTTTTTATTGCAGGAATTCCCAAAAATCCTGGTATTCAATTTTCTCTTATCCCGCCCCAACGAAGTCGAGCCACGCAGCTAGTCGTGAATAAATGAAAAAGCAACAAACCCATCAAAGCAGGAAAAGAATAATTTCCTTCATCACTGTTCCAATTATCACGCAAATATTTGTACCTTATCTGAATAATCGCGTTATTTATTCATTCATTCTCACGGCAAACCGAGTGACTAAACGTCAGATTAGTTGAAGGAATAGTGATTACCCTGATAAGAAGTTTTCCCGTTAGAACTTCATAGTTATATTTCTCCACATCGAGTGGATTTCCAGGGCCAACGATTTTGTGGTCATCGGTGAGCTGCCAGAACATGAAGCGATGATAATCATCACTACTCAGGCAAGGTAATTCAGCCAAATGCCCGGCCTGTACCTCCTTGACGACAACATTACCCTCGGCCATGCAAGTACGCCCGATAAACAGTAACACAAATACTGGTATCGACATTCGCCTCATTATCTGTAAATAAAACGAGAGATGATAAAGATTAACGGATTCCTGACAAAGGCTGTTGTAAAATCTGCATTCAGATATTTTTAAAACCTTGAAAGATCATTTCCTCTCTGATTCTAATTACACACAAATGATGTTTTAATACGGTGATTTAATCATCGAGACATTCTTCACACATTCATCAACCATTTGCTGAGTAATTATAACCCTTGGAAGTAAATGATATGTAATCAGAGTTGAACTTGTTTCACTCGAGGATTTATGGAATTGTCAAGTGGAAATAATTAATTCTGATTCTATTGAGTTGCGAAGAGATATACATTTGCAAAGTGACTGCCAAGTCCTTTAGATTTTACTTGCGTACGTTCGACAGGGGCGATAAGAATCGTGTCCCCTGTGTCAGCCGACGAGGAGAGTGGTGTAGCAAATAAGTGATGAATTACATTTCGGGGAAAAATGGAAATTGGCGGGAAAATGGGAATTGATATTTACGCGATTTTTTTTATTCAACAACTTTACGATTTATTTCTCATTGTTTTGGATTGCAGTTTTATATTAACTCTTAGAATATGGATAGAAAAATTCATCAATAAAAGTTTTATCGATGGTGGAGGAAGAATTGAAATAAATTAAATGAAAAATGAGCAATCTGGAGAGTTTTCAAGAACTCTTTATAGTGGATTTATTAGTTACTAATATGATTTGTTTCTACGAAAACTCTCTGAGTTCAGAAATTATAGGAATAGATCTGTTGTCTGCCAACTGAATTACTTAAAATTCAACTGGATTTATAGTTATTCAACATATCCTTCTCGATTAATAACAGATCTTTGAAGATCGAACAGAGAAAGAAAGAAAATAAATAATAATTTAATCCACCCGATCAATTAAATTCAAATTCACGAATAATGTCTCGTGATCTCGCGACTTATTCATCTCGACTAATAAACAAAATTTCTTTTTTGTTTATTAAAAAACTTCTTGATTTATTGACCTGCAGTGTTATAAAAACCCTTAAAATTTCGATGGGAAAATTCACCAATAAAAATTCTGTCGATGATATATATTATACGATTGAATTGAAGAACTCATTATAATGCATTTCTTAATTAGTCATGATATTCTTTCTGATCATTAATGAATTTTCAATGATACCATTCATGCAAAAAACAGCAAATTAAATCTACCCAATGAATTGCACTTCGATTAGAAAAAAATATCTCGTGATTCTGCAAATTATTAATTTCGGGTAATAAAAACTTTTTCAAACAAACTTACAGCTTTCGTCTGAAGTAACGCCTTTCGGTAAAAAGTGAACAATCGAAATAGAACGAAAACTCGAACAATTCCCCAAGTGAAACAGAGACAGTCCTCCTTCCACGCTCGGCTGCACAACAACAACTTCCACACTGATCTTCAAGTTTGATAAAGACTTGTATCAATTCTTCCAGTTAAACTCTAAACCCCCATCATAAACTCAACTCTTCGCAACACGTTTTGCTCCTCAGAGAATCATTGCATCATGACAATTGAGGCATTTCAAGCAACCAAATGATCTCTTCAAGTTCCACTTTCACTCAGAATTTGCACCAGTCAAAATATCTCCAAAGGATTTCCCATGAGAGTCTTTAACATTCGGAGAACCGAAGCTAATTAATCACCTCGACGTATTCAAAACTCAAACACGTCCTATTCTTTATTCACAATCTATTTATAATGGCAAACATTTTCCGTTCAATTCACCCTTGGACTTAAATTATAAATAGTCTCCCTAATGCCGTGCAGTCCCTCACGTTAGACGAACTGTCTTGTGGTTGAAACGAGTCACAGAGGCAGACTGACTCCTCAGTCATTCCATTACTATCCCCCAAAGACAGACCTCTCATTGCGTAAGAAGTATTTCGCACGTATATTCTTTCTTCATCAGTGACTTACATCTTTTTCCGTTGTCATTGGCTTTTCTTATCCTCCATTTGGTATTCCATTTGATGGATTATTGGGATCAACAGCTGCACACTGACGAGAACACGTGTTCAACTACAATGCAATGTTTATGAATGCATTACGTAAAAAGTTGCCGCTGTCGCGAGGATCGCATTATTTATTCTTCTTCTCTTTCTATTAATTTGTTGGGGTGGTGCCAAGGTTTCTTCTTCAGATGTAATCCATATGGGTGGTGACTACCTCCTCAACCATTTTCAAGTCATCTTTCAATTTAGCTCGATATATACTTCTTCATGATGATCGTATTTTAATTATTTATCGTTTATTTTAAGTTTTTACTTCAGGTTTTCTTTGTAGATAGGGGAAAATACTTTTAATGGAATGGAATGGTAATGAGATGGTTTTGGAAAGTTTCTGATTATTATCCGTTATTTATATTTCTTCTTTTTTTCCCTAATTGACGGCTTTCAATGTTTTTTCGACCATTTCGAACTCAACATTTTTTTTTAGTCATAATTCAATTTGCCTCGATATTTATTTCTTCATTACGATCATGTTTTAATTATTTATTGTTTATTTGAAGTTTTTACTTCAGGGATGGAATATTGAAGAAATAATTTTTGAAAACTTCAGATCATAATTTATTTTTGCTTCTCTCTCTTTTAGTTTGGTGGGGAATTGCCAAGGTTTCCGTCCGAACTCAACATTTTTCATAACTAATGATTCAATTTTTCTCGGTATTCATTTTTTAAATATTATAATGTTTTAATTATTTGTCATTCATTTGAGTTTTAATGCGGGAGTCAAAACGCTCAAATTTTACTTACACTTCTACTGTTCTTTTCAGGATTTTTTTGTTAGACAAAAAATATATTGTTTAAAGGATGAAACGTTAATGAGATAGTTTTGGGAAATTTCTGGCCGTTCATTATTAATCTTGCTTCTCCTTTTGCTTCCGAATGGAAGTATTGTTTTATTTCCTTGGAGGCTTCCAACGTTTCTTCAACCGTTTCGAACTCAACGTTTTTCATGTTTACCTGATGGTTTCATTTCCCTCAATAATTATTTGTCAATTATTATGATGTTTCAGTCATTTTTGTTTATGTGAATGTTCATGCGTGCGTTCAGCCACTGGGATTTTACTTGCATTTCTGCCGCTCTTTTAAGTTACTTTTTACTCAAGTTTTTTTTTTGGTAAACAGAAAAAATATATTTGTTAGGACCATTGGATATTAATGAAATGATTTTGGGAAATTTTGGTGATCCATTTACTTAATTATTTGGAGAGTGTCCAAGGGCTAGTCTCGTGAGACGCGTAAAATTAGATGTTCCCACGTGAATCAAAGCTCGAATGACGCATTCGATATTTGTTTACTGTTTGATATTCACGTTTGTCGTTACTTCCTCCCGTTTTGATCGACGAAACGTGGTTTCCATTAGGCTATTCAGAGTTCTGGTTTTACGATTGCACTAAAAAGTCTTCCACGAGTCAGTTTATAAAAGTCCTTTTTCAATTTTCGGAACTCTTCGAATAGATCACGATTTTTTTGTCTTCACTGGTTGTTTTTTTAATCACTTGGGATAAACTGGAGAGCTCCCTCCGGATCCGAGACAAGTAAACTCTTAATTATTATCGTTTTGAGGTGAATATAAAGTTCAAGTGAGTTTACTTTTAATTGTCTTTCAATGACAATGGTGACGCAGGATGTTTATGTCTCTGAGCGTTAGTCAGTATCTCGAGTGTTGAATTAAATGGATAAAAACGTCAACAGCGAGGGCTGGGAGGAGCAGCCAGACAGGAGCCAGGACTGCTTTAGCTGGTAAATTCCACTGGGGGGTTTCTAGTTTCAGGCAGACGAGAATTTGAGCGCTGAATTTTAGGAGAACTGCCAGGACGTACCATCCCTGCAATAATACAACCATAAATGTTCGGTGAAAAATGATTTCTTGAAAATTCAACTGCTCAAAAATATATTAATTAAACGACTGCTTCATTAGGCCATTATGCGTTTACCGATAGAAGAGTGGAAGAGTGGGGCAAAATGAAACAGCCAAAAAAAAATTTTTATCAACTTTTGTTGATTAACTTGTTTTATTACTAGATTTATTTATATATATATATATTTTTTTTTTCATTTCCGACCTCACAATTAGATTAATTCAATTTTATCTATTCTTATTCTTTCTTTTACATATTTTGAATTTTTCACTTCCTCTTACTGTTGATAACGCAATATATAGTAATACTATTTCCAAGTGTAATGATCTCATTTTAACGAGAAGAAATGAAAAAAGTGCAGAATAACGTGGACGAGAAGAAATAAAAAAAATAATTTTTCAATGCCTCCGGAAAGTTTTAAAATCGATATATCTTTTCGAATAACGAAAGAATACCCATAAATTCGATTTCTATCTTTGTCTTTCGATAGATTCAATATAATCAATGACAAAAATTAAAAATTGGAGACTAAAAATTTTATGCGATTATTAATTATGCGAGATTAATAATTTTCTATTCCGATTACACTTTTCTATTTTCATTCGATTGAAAATCCGCATCACATTTTCCTTTTTCCTCATCTCGGTCTCCCCCTGGGCCTTGCTCTGGACTTTGTATCTTGTTGTTTCATTTTCTTTTCAATTAATCCATTGAGAAGATCCTCCTCGGTCAAAACTTCTCAATAATTTCCCATTCCAATGAATGGAAAATTATTATTCTCATCATTACTCCGAAGAATAAAATTTAATTTAAAAAAATATTTAATGAACAAAATTTTTTTTTGCTTGAATTGTGACAAATTGTCGTTTTTCAACTGTTTCATTTTGCCCCACTCTCTCCTAGTGAATGAGCTGGTGAGACTAATTATCAATTAGTCTAATTATCAATTTGATATCTAAATACCTTTCGACGAAGGGTGTTGATCCTGTCATGCCCGTTCTTGCAGTGGGATATCATGTTGAACACAACATACGTCAGTAAAATGTTATCATAAAGCCACATTGGGATGAAGACGATAAACCAGTTCCACTGGATCCTCTGGTCCAGCCTCAGCACCAGGAGGATCAGGAAGATGAGGAGATTGAACCAGGTGAAAAGTGCCCTGTGCAGCACAGCCATCGTTCGAGTCTTTAATCCAAAAATTCGAGTTGTGAACTAAATGCAAAGTTTCACTTATCGCAGGCTTTCTATTTGTGTTTCTGAATTTTTTGGAGTAATTTCGACGTTTTGGAGCACAACACTGGGCAACACATGCACATAACCTGTCGGACACTGGGTAGAGGTCACCAGTCCCCAGAGAAGTAGAAAAAATGAAGTTTGGTGGAATTTCTTCTCTACCAGCGTTTGATAAATTCAGAAGAAGAAGAATTGAATAAATGAAAAATAATCAAAATAAACCATAACAATTGTGGATTTCATTTCTGAGAGATTATTGGAGGATATGTAATTATTTCAATGGGAAATTTTGACAGAAATGGTGAACAATTTCAATACTAAAGTTGCTCCATCCTTTTGGTAAATTTAAAAATTATTAAAAACTGCAAAGAATTTGCGGAATACTTGATTAGATTCGGATTCGTAATTTTTGTCAATTTACAATTTACTGAATTTACAACACTAGAAAACTAATGCTTCGAGATTTATATTTTCATTAATGATTAATGAAAAATTATTTTCCATTTGAAAGAATTAAAAAAATTCACATCTCCAAACATTTTCTCCTACAATTGTTTTTTCTCTGAAAAATGTATTTGTTCTATTCTGTTCGTATGAATCAACTTAATAGGTGTGGTGACATAATTCAATATTTAATTTTTAGTAGGTGTATTCTTCGATTTTACAATGATTTTATTCTAAGATAAATCACAAAACATAAAGTACAACAAATCATTTATTCGCATTTATCCAGAAGTCCATCCGATTTCCGGATATCCTCTGACCGGACCCACCTGCTTCATCTGAAAATAAATTCCCACGAATTAATGAAATGATGATGTTGAGAGTAAGGTCGATAACGCTTCCCTGATTAACGAAATAATTTAAAAACAATTTGAAAACGAACACAGAGCAAAGTGAAGAGGAAGAATCCAGTGGAATACAACAAGACTTTAGTATCCTTCTTGTTCTCCTCGTCGTATACCTCCTGCCAGGGTTCACAAGGCACTGGCAGCAGATCCATCATGCATCTCTCCCTAGGCATCTCGCAAATCGGAATCGTCACCGGGTCGCAACAGTCCACAGTACTTCGGTCTCTTATGGCCTTCAATTTCCTCGCCCAATTGACATAAATTCCTTGAAAAAACAATTCTCCAATTATTCGTTTATCCATCAGAGTCAATTCCCATTTTTTTCAATATTTTTACATTTTATTTGTGATATATCTCAGAAATAAATGATTCTGGGAAGATATTTAAGGGGGGATTCACGCATGAAAAAATTCAATAGAAACCTAGCGAATTCGCTAGAAAAATTCTGTTGGAATTCTGTAGGAATTCTATGGGGTTTTTCTATGTTTTCTACTGAAATTCTATTAAAAAATTCAATTTGTTTTTTGCACTGATTCTATTGGATATTCGATAAGAAGAAGTCAATAGATTTCGAATTTCTGTTTGAATTTCTCTTGAGATTTTTTCTCTAAGAATGCTTGGACTCTAATTTACAAAGCTTTTTCCACTCGGATTCTGTAATGCAAAACAAAAGAAAATCCAGCGGAAGAAAACTTGGAAAATTTGTGCCCAATAATTTTAATAGAAAAAATTTCAACAGAAAAATTCGAAATCTATTGACTTTTTCTTATCAAATACCCAATACAATCAGCGCAAAAAATAAATAGAATTTTTCAATAGAATTCCAATAGAAATCCTATAGAATTCCATTAGAATTTTCTAGCGAATTCGTCCGGTTTTCTATTGAATTTTTTCATGCGTGTTTTTCTATGAAATTTTCGCGTTTTTGCAAATCGCTTATTACGAAAACAAACCAATATCTAACAACAAAAATCTGTGTAACCCATCACTCAATAAAAAATTATCTATGCAATCCTCTGTGAATGGTGAAAGAGAAATACTGAATTTATAATCTCAAGAGACCTGAAAATCCTTCTCCAGTCCTCAAGACTCCAGTCTTCCCCAAGAATGTAGCAGTTCTCAGCATATTTCTTCACATTCCCCTCAACAAGATCAGCAAAGCTCAACTCAATCTTCCTCCACACTGAAAGTAATAAAAAAACACGAGAATTTGTTTGTTTCCTCCGAGAACAAAAGTTGCTGATTTCAGACTGTTTCATTTAAAGTAGTTCTATCCTCACGAAAAGTCGGCAAGTATAATTTCGAAGTTCGGGCCCGGATGGATTATCTTTCGAACGCTATCTCGATTGATTTTCCATCGACATAATCTAAAATATATCACAATTTCTATTGGATGTTAGATCACATAGATGTCCCTAAAATTACGATTGGACAAAAAAAATATTTTAAAAAGTGAACATTTTCAAAGAGCATTTTTAATAAAGATTAGAAAATAAGTCCGACAGAGAGGAAATTGTAAATGGATAATTTATAAGGGCAACTAACGATCTGACAGGCATTTGCTACTGAGACAAATGACTGAACAGCCATTAGGTACTGTAAATTATTAATTTGCAATTTCCTCCCTATTGTGTTCATTTCTCAATATTATTATTGAAAAACAATTTTTTTGATTGTACAATCATAATTTTTAAAGACTCCAAGGCTTTGTAAAACTGAATGGCAATTGAAGAACATTTCAGATCACCAAAATAAAAAAACAACCAAGATCACGTTCGAAAGATAATACACGCACGCCTTCAGTTGCAGGCATACCTATATCCATAAATTATAATTACCGTTAAATTATTAATTTCGTCAATTAGTTAATATCACTCTTAAGTTTTAATTATTGACGTAATCATAAATTTAAATCTTCAAATTCCGAGTTATTTATTAATCAGTAATTAATTAGCAAGATTGACGATTATTTGGATAATTGGAAACAGGGATAGTCAAATTTGTAATATTTAAGTACCGTTAAATATTTTAGCCATAAATTAGTCAACATCACTCTTAAATTTTTTGAGTACTCAAGTATCATCAATTCAAATATTCAAATTTTTAACTATTTTATCAATCAATAATTGAGGTAGGAAGCTTGATGTTTAATTGTGTAATCGAAAATCCCCTTTTAAGAAATTTGAATTATTCACTTAGTGGTAAATTTACAGTTTCACATTAACAAATTTTAAATATATCATTATTCGGAAAAATTCGATTATTAATATTATATTATTTGAAAAATTAGATCAACATATTTGAAACCTTCATTAATGTGAGAGTCAAATTCTTGTAATATTACAGAAATTTAATATTGGTGGAGATCCCTGATTGGAAATCCCTTATAAGAAATTTAGTATTATTTACTAAATAGTAAAATTTACAGATCCATATTATTAAAAATTTGATTCACCATCAATTGGAAATTTAGATTATCAATTATTTTAGTATTTTTTAATTTCGATTAGTGTATTTAAACCTCGATCAATGTAAGTAGGAAATTCTTTCAATATTGGAGAATCGGAAGATTGGTGGCCATCCTTGCTCAGTTGGAAAATTAAAACCCGAAAATATCAAAATTTGTAGCTCACTCCCTCGAAAGGGAAACAGCTGCTTCAAATCTCGCGGGTATTTTGTAGCGCAATGGAGCCCGTAACTACTCCAGCGATTGTAAACAAGATCATCTGCTCCAAACACGCAGTTGACGTGACTTTCATTCCGTTCATGATGAAATTTCGTAGATAAATTGACAAGTTCGAGGGTTTAACGGTTATTTTGTGGTGAATCAACGAAGCAGGTAGGCAAATCCTCTCCATATGCCCACATCTTAGTATCAAGTCTGGGCATTTCCAGGATCTTTAAAATTCCTCTGATGTTTACAAACAAATCAACAAGTCCTCAAAATACACGAATGAGTCTGCAGGGGAAATTAATGAGTCGAATTGCTATTCTCTGAGGTTTCTGGTGTAGTTTAAGGATCTGGGGGTTTGTAATTGTGGTCTCGAGCTCTCTTAGAGTGACTGATCCACTTGTTCGTGGGAACAAAGGAAGTCCTGAATGCTTTTATGGGCGTCCAAGGACGACGTCGGGGCCGGGTAATCAGGAAACAAGTGGACAAGGCCAAGGATGATGAATCAAGTGCAATGACTGGTGAATTTCCTCTCGTGATTCCCTTTTTTGAGAACTGTTGGACACTGCAGTGGTTGCAGGAGCCGTGGGTGTTCTTTTTATAGACAAACATCGACCTCTTTTCCGCGTACGAGGCGGAGAGCCGATCAGTTCAGCTCTGAACGTTCTAGTTGCTGTTTCTTTCTGGTTTTTTATTTTGGTGTTTTTGCATTTATTGCATTTTTGGGATTCACTGGGATTGCTCGGGGGTGTGGAATTAGTGGTGAAACAATGCCGACTAGGTGAGGAATTTTGTAAAATAGTAATTGAATGAAAAAACGTCATATGTTAATCTCGAAGTTTAGGGGAAAAATTGAGAGATCATAATGTTGTTGAGTAAAAAAAATATGGGATTTTTTTTGTATAGATATTTCCACTTAGAATCACTGATCATTGAGATGAATCTGTATTCTTTTATCAGGAATTATCAATGGCTGAAGAAAGGAAAAGCCAAGATGAGGAGAATTTTTTAAATTCACTATTTTAAATTCACTACTTCAATTGAATTGGTCGATTCAGTTGAAAAGGACTGGTTTTTAACAGAAAATATCGAGATTTTTTTTCAATTGAATAAATTTTTCAATAAAAGAATGTCTTTTGACGTCAGTTACTCGTAATAAAATAATTCAATACTTCTTTTTCTGTATTCATTTTATAATTTATGGTATTTCTGTCTATTCCATTTTTGGGATTTATTGAAATCGTTCGATTATTTCTAATGAGTGGTAGAAGAATCCTCACAAATTTGGGATTAGGATTGTTGAAAAATTTTATAATTCGCTCATCATTAATTATCATTGACTAATCAATGGCAAAATAATGCCTGTGAGATAGAGCGAATTTTCAAAATCCACTGGCGAAATTGTTCATTCATCTGAAACAACTTTCCTTTACAAGATCTGAAGAAAGAAACGCTTATTTAATTAGGGATAAAGTATTGGTCGGTGCTGGAGTGGTTTGGGGAATCACAGTATGCTGTCTATTGTTAAGTAGGAAGATCTCTCCTGGAAATATTCTAGGTCTCATTCCCTTCGTTCTTCATCGGTCAGTTGAAAATCCCCTCTGAAAATCTGTGTTAACCCTTCATGTGTCCCTGAAAAATAACATTTTTCAATGTCCACTAACAAAATGTATTTTTCTATACGAGTGAAGGGAAACAAAAATTTTTTATATTTCCTCATCAACTACGATTTTCATCTCTAACACAATCGATCGTTTAATCGCCTGATTTCCCAGCTGAAATTTTTTTATTTCATCCCATTCAGTAGCGAAGCGGTAAAACGGTTCAAGTCGACTTATCCCTGAGCTGAGTTTTCGAGAAATATCTCCGAATCTAAAGGAGATGACGACATTTTCATAATGACTTTTTTTGGAGAGCAAATTAAAGGCTAGGAAAAATGTTGCAACAAAAATTTTGCTATCTCCCTTAGATTTCGAGATATTCATTTAAAACTGGCCAGTAGTTAAAGTCGACTTGAACAGTTTGACCGCTTCGCTACTGCGTTCACGTTTACCTGATTGTGAAAAGAATGGTTTATCGCAGTAATCACATAATGGAGAATGAGGAAGACCAGAAGAACAGTATTGAGGACCCTGGCCCCTCCCTGAACCATCAGCCACCCTCGCCAAGCAGTCCTGGTGCCTCCAGCAACTCAGGAAAGTGCGTAAATTCCTCTTTTAAACAGCTTTACAAAAGTTCTGAATGAAAGTCAATCATTGAATGATTGATTGATTGAAGTTTATTAACTGTACATTATGGTGTACGAAGTGAATGATGACATAAGTCATGAAACAGGAAAGATAAAATTAAAATAGAAATAAGTCTGGCAATACCATAAGTAACTAAAGCATTACTTCATACACTGAAACACAATAAAGCAAAGTAATGTTGTTGCTGTTGGAATATGTCTAGACAATGGGTGTCGAATTTCATGGCAGGGGCTTCTCCCCCGAAGTTCGTGTCCCTGGAGGAGATTGTCCAAGCTGCTAATGGAATGAAGAACATGGCACTGGCCCATGAGATTGCGGTTGACAAGAACTTTCAGCTTCAGAGACTAGAGCCAGAGGAGAATAGCATTCAGAAGCAGGTGAAGGAGGTCATGCACAAGGCTTTCTGGAATATTCTGGCTGGACAATTGAGTGAGGATCCACCACAGTATACTCAGGCACTGGTGCTACTCAAAGAAATACGTGAAGTAAGTGCAGCGAAAATATCTTTCTTTTCAGATGATTGAAAAATTTTACAGGGATTATTTGATGAATTATGTCTGGAATTGGGAAGTGAGGGGAAGAGATACAAGACGTCTTGAGATTTTTCAATGAAACAGGAAATTTATGGGATATCTGTAAAATCGTGTTGACATTCAGTTGAAATTCTATTTATTTTCATGCAGATAATTCTTTAGATTTGTTATGAATTATTAGGTTCCGGGAAAAATGTTGAGATACTATTATATTGTTGTAGGCCATATAATTCTCTATGGAACAAAAGTTCTGATATTTTTCCATAAATGGGTGTTTTCTGCAATTATTGGTTTGGTTTCGGACCTTCAAAAATTTAATTTTGTTGAGGCTTCTTATTTGGCTTTCAATTTTTTTTCAAATTTGATTACGCCCACAACGTTAATTTTTTAGTTTTGTGAGTTTTTGACACAATTTTGCGTTTCAGCACAAGTCAATTTTTTCCGGTTTTCAATACGTATTTCCGACGGAAATTTTCTGTTCTTTCGATTGAGTATGGTGCCAATTAGCTCACGTCATGGGAAATGCTTTAAAATCGCCAAAAAAGGAGAAAATTGTGCGTGGTGCACCCTTCCCCCACCTCGATTGGAGATTTTTCGATTTCTTTACTCAAAGTGACTATTTTTACGAAACATATTAAAAAATTAGGCTGGGACTCGGATTCTTTCTACTCAAAAAAAAAATTTTGTCAAATTTCGTTTTTAAAAGTTTTTCCCAATTTTTCACTTTTTCATTTCAAAATTTAATTATTTATCGACCATTTAAGGACCGTAAATAATGAAGCCACAGAAATATTTACAAAATAGACTGCACATCGCTTCTGAAGTTAACAAATTCTCTAAATTAAATTAATGACTAGGTTTATGACTATTAAAAAAACGTAAACGACTGAGTTTATTGAAAAAAGTCATTATTATAATTCATCACAAAAAAATTAATTCTCATTCCTATTATCCTCCAGTCTTTGGAAGAACTAGTGCTCCCTCACCACACGAAAATCCGTGAGAATCTCCGAGAAGTCCTCGACATTGATCTCATAAAGCAGCAAGCCGAGAACGGAGTCCTAGACTTCCGTAATTACTCCCAGTATGTACTCTCTATAATGAGTAAAGTGTGTGCACCAGTGCGAGACGAGAAAATTCGTGAGCTTGGTGAATGCACTGATGTCGTGGAGACATTCAAAGGCATCATGGAGACGATCCAGCTGATGAGGCTCGATCTGGCCAATTTCACCATCTCGATGATGAGACCGAACATCGTTGCCTCGAGTATCGAGTACGAGAAAGCGAAATTTGCGGAATTTCTCAAGGTGACGACTGATGGTCTGCAGTTCACCAGGCTGTGGCTGTTGAAGCATCTCGATGAGACCAAAGTCAAAGCTGCTGGGACTGATACTAATGGAGTTAAACAAGTCACTCATTATCTTCTTGCTGAGGCTTATCTGGATTTGCTTAATTGGGATTCTAGTCCTGAGGCAGAGGTAATTGGAAACTGAAAATCAATATTGTTTTTATTAAGACGATAATTTCATTTCATTCAATGATGTTTTTCTTTTCGTTTTTGGAGGAGAAAGAGATTGGCATTTTTTATATTCCTAAATTCACAATTTCCAATGACAATTTCATCTGATTTTTGTTTCCAGACACTCATGCTGGATCAAGGAAGACTTCTGGAGCTCAGAGACAAGATAAATCACCTCGCAATCATTGGTTCTACTCTCCTCCTGTGCAGTAACACCGTTGGAACGCCTGTTCAGGGAGTTGCAGCCTTCAAGAAAAATATTAAAGAGCATCTGAATGTTCTTTTGGACTCTGTTCACTCCAACAGGTAAAGAAAATTCATTAATTACTGGGGGTGAGCGGATAGTAAATGAATCGAATCGAATTCAGTAGCAAAGCGGTAAAATGATTTCGGTCGACTTAACTCTTAGCTGAGTTTATGAAGAATATCTCCGAATCTAAGAAATCTAATAAATGGTATCAACAAAATTTTTGCTCTCTTAAATTTCGATATATTCATTGAAAACTGACCAATGAATTTGCCATTCGAATTGATATTCGACTGTACGCATGATCTGAGACATTTGGAATTATTCTAATGCTCTGAATTATTCAAATTATTTACAATTTCAATCCACTTTATTCACTACTGTCAGTGCTAGTCCCATTAGACTCCCTTTTTATTCGTAATTAGTAATCACGAAAAACAAATCGGATTTTCATCAATGAATTTTTCATTTCCAGGGCTTTGGAAGAAGTTATGCCAAATATTGCACTTCAAGTCAGAGAAGATGTGAAAGCTACTTTGAGTCAAATTGGTGCTCCAGAGCTCAGTTCAGACGTCGAAGCTATTCTTCAGGGACAAATAATGGATCTTGTCAATGAAGATCATAAAATTCGTCAGCTTGTTAGTAAGTAAAACAAAAAATTGTGGTAAAAAAACAATTCAACAAATTATTACTTCCATAAATCAGATATTTATCATTTCATACCACTTGAAAATAATTTTTGAGAGAATAATAATGGATTATGTAGCAGAAAATTGTATCCATTTGCAACTATTCATATCCTCGTCCTAACTTTCAGACTTGAGGATACGACAATTCCTTCAGAAAATAATTCTGAGTCAAACAGCAGTGCCCACTCAAGTGCCTCCAGGATTATCGTCCCTCCAGGAAGAACTAGCAGCAGTGGCTGCAAGATTTTTCATCATAGTTGCCCACAATCGCAGTGTCTTCGGTGATTATTACCAAGAGATCGTGGAAACTGAAATAGCTCGAAGAAAATCCACTCTGGGTTCCTCTGACAATGTCACCGATGGAATGGATGCTTAACTCCCATCAATGAAAGTCTTCAAATAGTATTCACTCTCTAAAGACAAGTATCTCGATGTTCAACACGAACATACGCAGTTAAAAGGCTGCAGGCAGAATTTAACTGATCAACTGTGCCCAGCTCTTTCATTTTTTTTTATTACGAATACATCTTTTGTATCGCATTTTAACGAAGTAATCACGTAGCAATGAATCAATTAATCTAGAGAAACTAATAATTTGCTATTAATATTGAAAAGATTATCGAATTGTGATGAACCATGCAATTTACATGTAATACGTAATTAATTAATGAGTTAATAACAACTCGAGAAGAAATTATAAAAAATTAGTCCTTTATTCCAACCTGTGGTTCATTTTCTTCACTATCATCACTATGTGTTTTTTTATCTTCGCTGTTCCCTTCTTTAAACACCTCTTCCCAAATTCTGTTCACTCTACCCTTTTATTTATTGTCCTATGGTTTTTATCCCCTAATTATTTGCTGTTAATATTGAAAAGAGAACCGAATTGGGATAGATAATACAATTTTTATACAATACGTAATTAATTAATGAGTGAATAACAACTCGAGAAGAAATTATAAAAAATTAGTCGTTTATTCCAACCTGTGGTTCATTTTCTTCACTAATAAATAATTTAAGGCACTTTTAGCTACAAAGAGAAGACAACGTGATTATTTCATTTCCTTACGTGGCTATCAAACGCAGAGACGTGTTGCTTCTTCAAGAAGCTTCTAAATCCCTCGAAAAGCCTTTCAAATCCACTACCAACAGGGAACAATCCCTCCAGGGTCTTCAAAAGTCCCTCGAAATCTCCAGTTTTCGTGTACACCTGAATCATCTTCGCAAAAACCTTATAATTATCCTCACTGAGTGACCGTTTCACCTCCTTCAGATACATCTTGCCCAGCTCCTTCTTCTCATCCCCAGGGCTTTTCTTTTCCAAACCATTGTGTCCATTCTGCTCCTGAGGGTCTCTGGACGTCGATGCCTGAGCGTCGAACGTGAATTCGATCGGTTGAATCTTCAATTTCCGTTTCTTCGAGGCTGGCTCCGAGGAAATGGAATTCTTAACGAGTTCTGATTGACTCCAGCCCCCCACAGCCTTCAGTGTCCCAAAGTTGATAACACTCTTCCCCTGAGGCTCCGGAAAATCCTTCTTCTTGACACTCGAATTGTTCTCCACCTTCTCAGGCTTGTACATATCGAGATTAAAATTTTCTTCTGGTGCTGCTGTCTCTGCTACCTTCAGGGAGCTCCCTCCACGTGTTTTACTGCTGTACTCGAAGCTCGCAGGAACTGCCGGGAGTGAGAACTCCCTCGAGGGAGCGCTCTTGGGCTGTGGAAGAGTGGCTTCAGCAGTCTTGAAGAAATTCCTGAGCTCTCTGGTGACAATTCCAAAGTTCGAGAAGTCCTTTATGTGGGGCCTCAACCAGGATGACAGTTGTCCCTTGAAGCTGGCGTTGTTGAACCTCGTGTCACACAGAACAATCGCTCCATAGTCGTCCTTGTGTCTTATTATTCTTCCAATCGCCTGGTTCACTGCCCTGGAGGCCTCCAGCTGGTACCACTGCTGCCCAGAGAGTCCCTCCTTGTTCTTCATTCTCATCTCCTCGAGGTACTTCTGCTTCAGCACAACTCTGGGGTCCTTCAGCGGTGGAAAAGGGAGGCCTGTGATGAGGACAGCTCGACCATTGGCGTTCGCAAAGTCCAGGCCCTCGGAGACCTTTCCCCTGCAGACAGCCAGGAAAATCGCTCCATTGTGCGTTGGGTCTTGGATCTTTTGGTAGAAGTCGTTCATCACGCTGTTGAAACTGTCTTTTGTCTGGGGCTCCACGAAGATCGGCTTCTTCTCGGAGATTGTCGACCAGAGCCCTGAGCTCTGCCAGTCGTCTCGACACTTCTTCATCATTGGGTAGGAGGGGAAGAAGACGAGGAGACCGTGGGGGATGAGGCAGCTGAAGTTGTAGAGGGTTCGTCCCAAGGCGGAAATGTACTTTGGGTCGTTTCGAGTGTTGTAGGAGGAGTTCAGGGGGTGGCAGTCGGGCCCTTGACTCAATACTCCTGCGCATACCTGGGGCATCACGGAAATTTAATGAGGAGCTATTTTGGGGAGATTTTTAGGGTTTTTTAAGGGATCTTCGGGGAGCCGAGGGAGATATAGGAATTTTCATGGGAATTTTTTAGTGAAAAGCAAATTAGAGACGAAGGGTCAGGCGAGTTTTTGATGAAAACATTGGTAATGATTTTTTTGGGGAGGGATGCGGGAGCTGTAAGAAATCAATCCCTTGCAAATTTGTGAATTTCATTACGTGGGAACTATTTGAAAAAAATCATAGATAATCTCTTTTTTCTAACATTTCCTGGTTACAAATATATTCTGGAAATTAGTTAAACTTAAAACTTATTTTTTGGCGTGGAATCGTTCTCTAGCAAAATTTTGCATATGCAAGCATTTGTTACTATTTCGAAAGAATTAATTAAATTCCTGAAACGTGGAAAATGGATTGTTTATTAATTATTCATGAATTACCCTAAAAATGGATTCTTAATTTTCTTTCAAGTTTAAATTTAAGGTGTGTTTTCTAACGATTGAAAATAAAAAATCAGATAATTTAAATAATAAAATGATTGCAAAATGTTTAAATGAAAGAACTGAGTTATCCATAAATGTTAAAAAGGATTCGTTAAAAAATGGTGAGAAAATACTTATGTGGATCATTTTTGTGGTCAAAGTGCTGCATTTCATATAGATAATTCAAGAAATAGATAATTGGAAATAACAAGAGCTGCGTACCTGTTTGGCAGTGACAATATGAGGATTCTCCAGCTGCACATCAATAGGAATACCCAATTCCGAGATGAATGGTTTCAAAGGAGACAACGTGCCACTAGTCAAAATGATGGAATGAACCCCCTGCTCTAGTAACTGTTGCATTCCAAAGCCAGGACTGAAGCACCAGTAGCTGATGAGCTTGCCCCCAGCCTTCTGCGCAGGTTTCTTGGGCTCCCAGCCATCGTTCCTCCCAGATTTCTTGGCCTCCTCAGGCTGAACATAAACTTTATACGCCTGCTTGACCCTCTCACGGTGCTTAAACGAATTCGATGCCCCCCCGCCGCTGAAAACTGTCCTCAGAAAATCACAGAACTTCTGCAGCGAATTTCCACGTCTGGCAAATGGAGATGCACTGATCGTCGACAAGTACAGAACGATTTTATCAAGTTTTTCGATGACTATTTGCTCTTTTCCATGGGTTAAATCGGCCTTCTCGAGGAGTTCAAAGACGTATCCACCAGGGTATGTGTCCCCCTCAGTCCCCATCTTCAAGGGAATCTCGTCGATGGCCTTCTCCACAGCCAGAAACATAATCTTGAGAACACACAGGTCCTCAGGGGTGAAATCCTTCTGTAAATTCGTTCCGGGGCCTTCGAGGTTGAAACCAATGTCCTCAGACTTGTCCTCAGCCATGTCCTTCATTACCTTTGTGATCTCATCGATGCACAGGGCTACGTCTGTACTACTGATCTGGAGGGAAGCTGCTTCTTCACACGTCTTCTCGACGTTGTGAGCCTCGTCGAGGAGAATCACGTGGTTCTGGAGATCAATCCCCTGGGATTTTCTCGTCTTCGGATCTAGGAGGTAATTGTAGGGCATGAAAGTTATGTCTGCTGACTGCTTCAGCTCCTTGGCCAGGAAGTATGGACAGCACTTGAACTTCTGACCATTTTTAACTAAATCTTCAATGTCACAAATTTCGGTTTTGAAGGCTGGATCGTCTTTTCTGGAAAATAGAGAACAGAAATGCTGGAATATCCCTGGAAGGAAGGGGTTTAGAAAAATTCATCATAAGATCTATTTTGTAGAGAATTGCGTGAACGATAAAAACGCTCTTCTAACATTTTTTTCCAAACCTGATAATTAATGGAGAAATTCGCGAAATGAACTTTATGGAAGTTTTTTAATTTCATTGTCAATTACCTGATCTCAACGTTATTGAAATAAAAACAGGTTCTGGCTTTGACTTTGGCCTGGCACATGTGGATTTTGTTGGCTGAATTTTGCTCCTTGGAGACCTCAGGATGAATGCACAACTGATCCCTAGATCCAATCACAGCAACTTTAACATGTTTGTAAGAGGTTCTCTTCAACTCCTGCATAGCCTGGGATAATTGTGAGTGAGTTCTGGAGGCGTAGATGATCTTTGGCATGGCCCAACCGAAGTTGGGATTCTGGGCTGACACCTCAGTTGATACTCCAGCAGAACTGTTAAGACCATTTGCGAGATTCTCGAAGAATTTTCCACCGAACTCTGGCTTCTCCACAGCTCCCATTATCGCCTGGGCCTGCAGCTGGGCTTTTTTCACTAGGAGCCAACTCAGGGAGGAGCAGAGCAGGCTCAATGTTTTTCCAGTTCCTTATAACAGTGAAGAGATGGAGGGAAAATTATTATATTTGATTGAGGGAATATAAGTGGAAGAGACTTTGAAATTAAATTGCTTTTCTGAGACTAAAATTTTTTGACTTTTTTGTGGATTTAAAATCTTTTCTTTGGATTCAAGATCTTTGCAATTCTCTGTAAACTAGAAAAAACCAGGTAACTATTGTTTTATCAAAGATATCAGAGTTGAAAACACTGCAATGAAATACTTCATCTAAAATTACAATTTTGGGTTTTGTAAAGAAAAAAAAAGTCAAATTACTCACTCGAAGTGAATAAAGGTCCATAAGTGAATAAACGACCATCTGGACGTAATAGAGAATTACCAGTTTAGAATTATTAGAATTATCAAAATTCAGAATTATCCACTAAATGGATATGAATTATTCATTGTTGACAGTATTGACGTCAATTAATTATTAAATTGTTTTATCAAAGATATCGGAATGGAAAACACTTTGCAATGAAATTCTCCGTCTAGAAATTACAATTATGTTTTTGTTTCTTTTTTCAGTGTAAAAAAAATGTTGACTTCTCCTTCAAGAGAATGAATAACGATTATTTGGGTGTAATAAACTAATAATTATCAAGTAAGAATATAATTCGTTTGTCATTCTTCCACTTGTTACTCCAGAATCTCGTCCTGACATTCCCCACTGTTACAGGGAGTATCACCCTGTCGGATAATATAATCAAGATGAAATAAATTAAAATAACTAGATACAAGTAAAATGACGAGAAATTCATTTTTCTCCTCTGAAAAAATCCCAAAAAGTTGTTTTTGGGAATTCAATCCCTTTCGAAAATTGTCCAACTCAGATTCTTCACATTTCTCAATCAAAAATCCTTCATATCCCTTCATCAAACCCAATTCTTGCTCCCTTACCTGTTGGTGACTCCAGAACTCCATGTTTTTTATTCTGGAGGCACTCGATCACCTTAGCCATATAATCCTCCTGTACCTTGTACGGTTGGAACGGAAACGTAACCTGAATTCCATTGATAACCACATCAGGCATCTTCGTCAGTCCAACACCCACAATTTATCCAGTTGAACCCTCAAAAAACCCTTATCCCATCGATATTAACAAACTCTGACAATTCCTAGTGATGAATAATGTCACTGTGTCTTTCCTCCCGACTTTACCGCCAAAACAAAGTCCACACGTGACTCTCAAGGTCGTTTTCGAGCGTCAGGTGCTGCCCCCAGACGCTGAGCAACCGACTCATAGACCCTACCCCCACCACAGAATCCACCTGTTTTTTGTTTTTATTTCAATATACAAAACAAACACAAAAGAATAAATCGCGAATGTGGTTCAGCGATAGGTTGGCCTGCCAGCTGATAAGTAGACGGCCGGTAAGTGGTCAGAAGGAGCGTCTCCATTGTTCCTGAAGGTGAGATTTTTTTCACAAATTCAATTTAAATCAGTTCATTCCCTAGGTGAACACTATCTCGACTATTTTCTCGTCTAGAGAGAAATTCGAGGAATTCCAGGGGGAGATGGATGAGTTTAGTTTGACGTTTGGGGGTTTCCTGGGGCGTCGGTGTTTATGGGAGTTGATTGACTTCCAACAGAACTGATTACACGTCTGAAACACAATACGATGAGTGAGAGAGGCGGATCGGTATTTGCGTGTGTTTCATAAAATCATATGATGAACGTCAGGGCATGATTTTTTAAATCTCTGGTGAGGGGATTTAACCTTTACACCGAACTGTCGGTCTGTGGAACCGCTATCAAAACTTTCACAGTGTATAACTATTGATAAATGTAAGAAAAGAGTGTCAAACTTTCAGTAGCTTCTTATTTCATCGGTTGCAATCGATACAAAATGTTTTTGATTTTTTTTCGCACCGATAAATCCATGAAACCACCAACATTTCTTGTAATTTATTCAATGGGGGAATTGTAAAAGAACAACAATTAGCTGAAATTGTTTATAATGACTGGGCTTTTCCCAGTGATTTCTTAGTTGGTGACCTTCAGAAAGTGCATTTAACTTCGAAAAGTTTATGCGTTTGCATAAATTCACACAAAATAACTTTATTTTTACTGCAGAATAAACCGTAAAGTTTAAATGTTTACAATAAAAAACAAGTGGGAAACTGCGCTTGTAAAAATACAGAGGAAATTGGGGTAAAATGGACACTTCTCACTTTTAAAAATGTTAATGAGCGGTTGATGTGTTGATGAAATTTAATCTTTTTTTTTCAATGGAAAGAACAATTCTTCCCCTTTGTAATGAGACTAAACTGAGCTCAATTGATAAATTTGTTTCTGAGTTATGAATAATTAAAAAAAGTCTACAGTGTCCATTTTACCCCACCCTCCCCTAGTATAGTTATGGTTGCTAATAAATTAGGAATAGGCTTCCGAATCATAAAATGTTGATAGAAAAATTTCATTTACACATAGTTGAATAAATTTGAAACATCACATTTGAAATCATCAGAAAGCTCACTTTCCGGAAAATTCATGAAAAATTCAAAATTTTCAACAATCATAAAAATCAAATCAACCAATAAAGCTATCGTAATCACCGTTCAACTTCGACTTAATGGCATTAAAACGAACATTTTAAGCTGTGATTGAATTTATTTGAAGCATGATATTCAAAGATATCCCCGGAATTCTGATGTTCGAAAAATCCAAAATTTTTGAAAATTTTCGAATAATTCAAAATAACGATTATGGCTATCGCCTTCATCTTCGAACTGGATCAAAGAGACATTCAAACAAATTCTTGTAGCCAACATGCAATCAATTCAGAACGTTTTTTTTAGTTATCGTGGGACAACCGATTTTCGAAAAAATTCTAAAATTAATAAAACCAATCGATCAGTTAAATTTTAATTAATGACGATTGATAGGGCTCAACAATACCTATATTTGAAAAAAAAAGATTCGATTCCATCCATTCGTACATACATACGCACATACATACGGACGCGGTCTAAAAATTGCATTTTCGGACTTTTTGGATCATAATGCGTCAATATATCACAAAAAATCCAAAACTTAAATTTGAACGATTACAATGCTTCCCGTCGGAAGATAAACCGTTTGGAGTGATTCACAGTACATCCTCTATCAGATTAGCTTATTGACGCTCAAAAGAACCCATCACAATACAATTATGAATTACAAACATACCGCAGTTATTCGAGACAGATAAACATGTGTTTCTAGTTTGTGGTTTGATAATGCTGGGTCATGTTATTTTTATCACTATCAGGGGGTATTAAAGACCTTTAGAACCTTTCTCTGGTGACTCTCGAGGCACTAGACCCCCGGAGTGCATTAAACCTCGAGCACTTGCTGCAGTTTCGTAAGAACTCTTTCAGAGGATTAGAGTTGAAATCATTTCTGTTCGAAGGAAAACCATTAAAAATGCGTCTGGTGATCTGTGATACCGTTGATTACGTAGCGGAGTGGTCCGCTAAATACGTAATGAAGAGAATTAATGACTTTCAACCGAATGCCAACAAGTACTTCGTCCTGGGACTCCCAACTGGTAAACAATTCACAGCTTCACAATCTAAATTTTGATTACGTGAAGGGGTATTTCTGGCCTTTGTGTTCTATTGAGTGATTTTTTCTAGGTGGCACTCCTCTGGGAATGTACAAGAAACTCATCGAGTTCTATAAAGCTGGGAAGATCTCCTTCAAGTACGTGAAGACCTTCAACATGGACGAATACGTGGATCTACCCAGGGATCATCAAGAGTCATATCACTATTATATGTACAACAATTTCTTTAAGTACATTGACATTGAACCTCACAATGCTCATGTTCTTGATGGTAATGCACAGGACTTGGTGAAGGAGTGCGATGAGTTTGAACAGAAGATCAAGGATGCTGGGGGTGTGGAACTCTTCATCGGGGGTAGGAATGCAAAATTACTTGAGGATATCCAAGTATCTTTTACAGTTTGGTAGAGACCACATTATAGATTCAACCATTTTCAATCATCAAATTTGTTAATTAAATTTCGTGATAACCATTTGCAAAAAATCATGAACATTCCGAAGTTAAATTGTACAGAATTGTTATTTTTTTAAACATTCGTTGTTTATGAATAAATAATTGAAATTGTTTAAACTTTCGGAAACCTCATTTTTGCAGGTATGAAATCGATTTCTGATCAATCACACAAATGATGTTTATGGGAAAAATTGATTGTTTATGAATTATTTATAGAAAATGCTCGTAATTTTCAAAAATTGCAATTTTTTAATTATTTCATCAATCTTCTTCCAAAAGTAAACTTTCTAATTTTTTTTCAGATTTTTAAAATGTTTTCTAACGGTTGAATATCGAGTTCAAATTCAGATCTGCAAAGTTTGAATAATAAAATCATTGTAAAATTTCCGGAAAGTTAGGGTTAAATGGGACCCAAATGAAAGCTGTGATGCTCGACTGTAAAAGTAGAAAAGAATTTCACTGGAGAAAAAACGGTCAAAGTACTTGGATATTCTTAAAATGACAATTTTTTGAATACTTCTGACTTCTCAATTTTAGAAATCATCAGGCATTACTTTCTGTCGTCATCTGTGGTGGAATATCGTATATCTAGTTGAAAACTCATCGTCATTTTTGCGTTCAATCATTCTTCGGTCATTCTCGATCATTTATTTCCATCCATTTTCTCAAAATTTGGGAAGAACGAGGGTGGGGTAAAATAGAGCTATTCAAGTACCCGATAAAACTAAAATTCCCAACTAAAAAACTTCGTTTGACATTTTTCTCCCAAGCTACAAGTTCTCAACATATTTTCAAAATAATTTCCACGAAATTCTTGAATTTTTCCTTCATTTTTTTTACTAGAAAAAAATTGATATTTATAAATTTTACAAATCCTCTGAATAGTTGTTTGTTTCCTCTAGGCATTGGTCCCGATGGTCACATTGCTTTCAACGAGCCGGGCTCGTCTTTGGTTTCGAGAACCCGCGTGAAAACCCTGGCGCACGATACTCTTGAGGCAAATGCCAGATTCTTCGGCAATGACATAGAAAAAGTCCCCAAGCAGGCGCTCACTGTTGGGGTGGGCACTGTGATGGATGCAAAAGAAGTCATGATTCTCATCACTGGATCTCACAAGGCTTTCGCACTTTACAAAGCTGTCGAGGAGGGGATCAACCACATGTGGACAGTCTCGGCATTCCAGCAGCATCCTAGAACCCTCTTCATCTGTGATGAGGATGCTACACTCGAGCTTAGAGTCAAAACTGTTAAATATTTCAAAGTAAACACAATTTACTGTTGAATTTCATATAGTCGATTTAAAATAAAAAAATGGTCTTATTATCTCGAAAATGAGTCATTTTAGGAGAGAAATGTGAAGATATATTTTTTATAGTTGAATGAATTCCAAATAAAATGTGTTTTTTTTTACATTTCTCCTCATAAAATGAGAGCAACACCTTATTGAGATAATTCAATTTTTTATCAAATTTTCTATTTTTTTTGTTGATAATTTATTAAACTATGAAAAATGTCTTGAGACATGAAGAAATATTTTAGTATAGTTCAATAAATACCCAATAAAATGTGCCTTTTGACATTTTTCTTCATAGAGTAATTAGTCATTAACATAATTAAATTCTTAACAAAACGTAAAAGATTGATTTGCTCTATTCTTTTAATTTTTAATTGCATTCTCTCAATGTTTCCAGGCACTCAGTGAAGTTCACAGTAAACTCATTGAAGGTGATGAACACACAATTCTTCCACGTCGTACTCAAAATCAATGGCAAGCATAAATGAAAAATTAATTCAAATTAACTTTAATCATGAATGAAAGAATGAAATTCGAGACATAAAATCAACCAACAATTTTTTATACTAAAAAATGTGTTTATTTCGTTTCTTCCAGAGCGTGTGGTACATTGCCAACGAATTAATCGAGGATACCTGAAGGCACCATCGATGATATTTTTTTAACACGAAGGAAAATTAACGACTGACTGCTCTCCGTACAGTGAAGATTTCCAAATCACTTCGAAGTGCAAATTCCTTAGTAACAAATTTTTAACAGAAAAAAAGACAGCTGAATGCTCTTTCAAAGTTCTTTCGACTGCCAAGTGCAAAGTGTTTTTAAAAATAATTCCTACGACGAATTAAAAAAAAATACAAAACTATTTTACTACGCATGTAACATTTTTACGAATAAACAATTCTTCATGATTAATGCACCCAAGTTTAACAAATTAGTATTAAAAAATCAAGTTAATTACGAGAGTACGAATGAAGATCTACGATACATGATAAAAAAACGACGAGTTCACGAATGAAATAATTTTATAGGGAAGCTTAGTGCATTCGCTAGAAGATTCTAGAAGATTTCTATTGAAAAATTTCACTTTCTCCACGAGTTTTTTTAATAGAAATGTCCTATAAAAAATGAATTGAATAGAATTCAATCTTTCTATACAATTTATCCTAATTCTAAATACTCCAATTTTTTAATCTAGACATTTTAGTGAAAAAGCAGAAAAAGGGCAGTGAAGAAAAGTTATACTTATTTTTAGATTTCTTCACAGAAGATTTAAATAGAAATTGCATAGTAAGATCGCAATCTCGTGATTTTTTTTCATAAAGTATTTTCCATCGGACACTTTCTACCTAAAAAAACCTGGTAGATAAGCTGCGAAATTAACAGAATGCCCACTATTATTTTCCAGCGAATGCACTAGTTTTTTCAACAAAATTTTTTTCGTCCGCACACCCCGGGGAATTGCGAATAGAGAAAAAACCTCCAGTGACATTGGCACTTTATTCAGGCTCCGTCTGGACAGTTTTGTGGTCGTGTGGAGGACCCAGATTCAGTGAACCCCGTGTATTGGCAATATTGAGGATCTCACGAAGTTCCATATTCTCCTTTTGGAGTCTTGTGAATGTCTCCTTGTACTTGAGTTCACTCTCCTCATCCACTGAAGCTGCCACCCTCATGACAGCCGCCATCTCGTTGATCTTCTCGGCCTGGCTGGTGATTATATTCGCATATTTGGCATTGTAGAGGGATGAAAAGTTTGTCTTGCAGTTCTTCATGAGGGCTGATGTTTGCTGACGATACTTGGACATTATCAGCTCCAGGGCCTTCTGGTAGTCCTCGAGGGCAGTTTTGAGCTCTTTATTCTCAGCCTGAATCTCTCTCAAGTGTCTCGTCTCCTGTTGGATACTGGATATCAGCTCCTGGTGGGGCCGTTGCTTGGCTTCTGTGTTCAATATGTCAATCTCCTCCTGGTACTGCTTCATATTGTCGATTTGATTGCACACAGACTGGATCTCGGTTATGAGGTTGTCCGCTGTGTTCTCGTGGTCCGAGATCCTTCCCACGAGCTTCTTCGCATCGCAGATTATTTGTTGAAACGTCAAAGACATCTGAGAACGCAAAAGAATACAGCATATCGAACACTTGTTCTCAGGACAAATTTTCTCACTTATAGTACCATGAGAGCTTGAAATTATTGAGTATTTTAATTAGGGAAAGGGTAAAACTAGCCGTTTTTTATCATCAGTAACTCAAGATCGGCAGAGTGAATTTAAATTGTTTGCTTCCGGATGGAAGCATTGTAATTGTTCAAATTAAAGTTTTGGATTTTTCGTGTTATATATATACTTCTTCGATTGTTAGAAATTAGTTGAAAACGAAGTTAAAATTAGTTGAAAACAAATCTTATTTAATTTAGTAAAATGAAATAAACAAAGAATTATGCATGATAGAAGGAAATGATGTGCAAAATAACCATTCAGAATCCTATTTGTAATTTATTAGCAAAAATAACTGTGCTATATGCAATACAAAAACAATTTCCAACTTGTTTTTTTTTTTCATTTTGAAGGCATTTTTTCAGGCTTCAAAAGGAGTACATCCCAATCACATCATTTGGTTACCGTCCCCTAATGGAATTTCTGCAGGAATTATCGCTCAGATGGAAAAAATTGTGGAAATTTTTTTTAGTTAGTTGTTTGACGGGATGATTATTACCTTTGGGAAGTGGTGGACCGATTGAAGATGATGCTGGTGGTATTTTATTGAGCAAAATTTATTCTTCTAAGATGACATTTGGTGGATATTTCTTTGCTTTTGTTCTACGAGTCAGGTTAGATCGTTCTCTTACCATTTCTGGGGTTTTTATTTTTATTTCTGCTTGTGTTTACTGTGGCGCGAGATTTGAATGGACTTGGTGGACACCGTGAATAGTTGATCCATTGATGAGTTTATCTTATTTATTAATCCTCTGATCCTCGTAAGAAGTTAGGGAAAATTCCAGACGATTTTTCGTAAATATTCATAGACAAAGGAGTAAAGTTGAAACTAAAAATCTGAAATTTCGACCCATAATTGGTATTCTTTGGAAACAGTTTTCGGTTAAATTTCCGCTCAATCAATCAAGTACTTTTTGAGGTACAGTAATTTCTCACAAATCATAACTCAATCGTGCCTTCGTTTACCATATATATACATATATGTAATTAAACCTATAAATTGACTATAAAAAATACATTAATTAAATTTTTATAAATAATAGATAAATGAATAAAAATATTCTTTATGCTAATATCTATCAAATCAAGTCACAATGTTCCTATGTAACTAGAGACAGTTTTTTATAGTCTTTATTATTTTTTATACTCTTATGTTTACCTCCTATAAGAAAAATACAATTAAACAACTTTTAGAAACCAGATGAATAACCAAGGAAACTAAATTGCAATGGGATTAAAAAGTTTTGAGTTAAATTCAATGATAAAAATTGTGGAGTTCAGTAAAAGTGAATTTATTTATTGATATCATACACTGCTTTTTGAAATTTTAGACTCCAATCTGAGCAATTCAGCTTTCAAGCTCTCAGGTAACATGAGAAAAGATGAAGATAATGGAATTAAATTTATTTAACGGGGGAGGAAAACTTAATTTTATCGAACTCTTGATGTTGTGTATTCCGAGGGGAATGCGAATGTGTGCGAGCCGTGGGAACTGACGCTCGGGAGCAGACCTGCATTGGGGATTATGTTCCAAGACAGTGTCAATGTCACGTTTTTATTGCCCCTAAAGAAAACATTAAATCAAACATTAGTCCATCAATTTTCATTTTCTCATATCAGTCTTTTTAATTAATTACTCAATACATTAATTAATCGTATCTTGAGAACAAATTATCTGAAGTGATAATGCCAGTATTCAACGAGGTGTAAAAAATTAATTGAATTATTAGTGAAATAATCAACATGATCTTACTTTAGGCCATTTCCATCATCCCAGAAGTAGTACTTGGTGTTCATGTTCTTGAAGTCAAGAACAGCATTGTCTCCACGAAGAACTATTTTATCCCATAGCACAACCTAAACAAAATTTATTGATTAATCCACTGAATCAAGTGCTCTTCCCACTTCTTTCCCTCATCTTATCATGCATTAACTCAATTCTTGATTGATTTAATTTAGGAGTAGCACAGTATCAGGAAAAATTCCGAAATGTTATGGGCAATTCAGTATGAATTTTCAGGCGAGCGACATTGAATTCGATTTTGGAAGATCATCTCCAGTTGTTGCAAATCCCCATTATATACCTGATTAAATTGACATCGATTTTTTCATCAATTTGTGATTTTTTAACGAATGTTTACCTAATATTTGCCTGAATGTAATGAATAAATTAACATTTCCATTGATTTGTGAATCAAATTGTGAATTTTCAATGGAGAAATTCCTTGAAATTTTAGTGGAACTTACATTCAATAAAAAAATCCAAGAAGTATACCAGAATTTTTAGTCAAAAAATTGTTAACAGTGCAGCTGCTCTTACAAATGGATTGATCAATCTAATGACTTAAATCATTCCTCAACCGATGCAAAAAAAATTGTTCATTCCCTCCTTTTTTGAATAATTAATTATTCTTTAAAAATCATGCCCAGTTATTACAAAACTCCATTTATGTACCTGATTAAATCTCCATTTATGTATCTGATTAAATTTACACCATTTTTTCCTCACTTTGTGATTTTTTAACGAATGTTTACTGAATATTTACCTAAATGTCCCTGGTTTCTATTCAATGGAGAAATTCCTTGAAATTTTAGTGGAACTGTCGTTCGATAAAAAATGCCAAGAAGTGTAGCAAAAATTCCACTCAAAAATTATTAACAGCTGCTCTTGCAAATGGATTGATCAATCCACTGACCTAAATCATTCCTCAACCGATACAAAAAACAATTGTTGATTCCCTCCTTCTTAAAATAATTCACTATCCTTGAAAAACCACCCCAGCTGTTGCAAATCCCCATGTACCTGATTAATATGATTGGCCTCAGTTTCATACTCAGCAGTCAGATAAAGAAACAGCTGCTTCACGTTCCAATTGAACAATGGTGTGAGATCAGTCTGGAGATCAAAGGTGAGGAATCCAAGATCATTCTTCTCCCTCGAAGCACTGTAATCTGGTACATTTTTCCTGAAGGAAGAAATAACTCCATAAATTCTTCGTCATAACCTCGAGCCTCAATAGGACGACAAAAACAATTTTAACGATTAAAAAAATGCTTAATAATCCTGAGATACTCACACCACAACCTTCACAGTATTCAGAGTGGCGTTGGTCCTGTAATCCAGGAAAATAGTCGACAGAAAGCAGAAGAATGTGAGGAACCCGGCGACACTGACGGTGTACGCCAAAATAGCGTTAGCTCTCGTTAAAAATGTATGCATTATTGATGACTAAATTCTAACACTTTTTACCACAATTATTCGTTGATATTACAATGTCAGATTGTTAAAAACATTTGAATAGACTAATCAAACTGATCAACACATGTTGGTTAGTTGCACATCCAGGCAAACTCAATGTCCTCACTTTTTATCAGATCAACGTCAGCATAAACGTGTTTACGTGTTACTTTTCCAACGGTTGGGGCTTTATTTCCAAGAACGGGACAGTGGGCAAAGGCACTGCTGCAGTCTGTTGGAGACTGGACTTGAGACCTTGGGAATTCCAGTGGAAAAGGAACCGCAATTGTCGCTATCTGCTGTTACTGGTGATGTTTATTTAACAAATTGAAGGGAAAATAAGTGCTGTCAGTGGGTAATTGTTTATTGAGGGGTTTAATCATGAGGCTGACTGCGATTTTGATGCATTGGAAGAAGAAGCCATCTCCGGGACATGTTTGGAGAGGGTGAGGAGTTATTCTAACCTATAAAGTTGATGGTTTTAAGAATATCGTAGATTTTGAAAATTTCTTGGTTTTGAGAATCTTTGATGGAGATGAAAAATTAACGGGTGGAGCAGCAAATTTTTATTAGATGCGGGAGTATTTCGATAGGGGACAATCTGTAAAAAAAATTATTTCAGCATCCCTCATTATCAAGTTGGTCTCTTTACTGAACTGACAATTTAATTAAATAAAAGTAAATCATTGTCGAATCGTGAAGTTTATTAAAATTTTTAGCTTGCTCGTGCTCTGAAAACTAAACAAATAAAACGATTACAAATACCCGCGGTTAATGATGGACAGGAGAATAAATGTGGATGAAACTAGTCATGAAATCAGAACCTCTATTCTGAAAATTCCAGAGTATACTTGCAATTAACTCTAATGAATTCAGTATATCAATAGATAGTTGACTAATAGTAGTTAATAATAGTTAGTGAATCCGTTTTTTAATTACCAAAATTGATCAATTCCTAATTTCATTGCCATCCAAAGAATCCCTCAATAAAAACCAAAAGTTCACAAACAAAATTGGAAAGAAGAAAAATTGTGCCTTCGAAGAAAATCGCCTGTTAAGATATTTTTACACATAATAAGATCGGGAAAATCGACTTCTGAGATGAGCTTCAAGCAATAATTCCCTCATTTTTAAAAATTTCTAGTGTACGTTTGCCTTAAAGTCTAATGGATTTAGTAAATCAATAAATAGTTGACTAATAGTAGTTAGTAAATCCGTTTTTTAATTACCAAAATTGATCAATTTCTAATTTCATTGCTATCCCAAGAGGCCCTCAATAAAAACCAGAAGTTCACAAACAAAACTGGAAAGAAGAAAAATCTAACCTTCTCAGAAAATCGCTTGTTGTCAAGATATTTTTGCACATAATAAGATCGGGAAAATCGACTTATGAGATGGGCTTCAAGCAACAATTCCCTCATTTAAGAAAAATTTAATTTCAATTTCACTGATGCTCGCCTTTTTTTATTGAATTTAGAATTTAACGGCTTTAGATGATTTTGAGAACTTTAACATTCATTTCCTCTGAAAAGAGAAGTCCCATAAAAATTCTGTAAACGGATTTAATTTCACCGTTTGGGAAGGCAGAACGAAAATTTAGTCGGACTATGTAAGAATCCCGTATTGATTCCTGTAGTTATTTATTTTCCTTCGCAGAAAGCATCGTAAAGTGAAAGATCCCTCGTTTTTCGATTTATTGACTCTTCGCCACGACTTCCAGCGAGAGGAACGCAACATGCTCTTCCTCCGGCACCCTTACCTCACGAACGAACAGTCCCACGGCCACATGAAGGAGCTCAAGGTCCCGCCGAACTTCCGGGCAATGAATCAAGCTGATAGGAACAAGAGATTCGATAAACACTTCACTTGGCAGGATCAGTTGGTTCATCTGAGAACTACCGATCGCTGGGAATAATTTAGTTGTGTCAAGATGAATTAACAAAATAAAACCATTGTATTATACTCATTAAACAACATGTCCTTATTAATTCGTGGCGTATTAATCTGGAGCCACTAGCGGAGGAAAATCAGTAGTAATTCCTCAACAGAAACATTAATTCTAACATGTTTTTTAAACTAATTATTCACTTGAATCGACAACAAGTGGTCCTTGTGGAAAATATCAAAAGATATTTGGTTGTTTCAGATCTGGAAAAAATTTCTGAGTATTTTTCCCTTAAAATTATTCATTTCAATATAAATCGACAAGGTAGTCTGACGTTTGTCAACCGAATACAACTTTCCGGTTTAAAAATTTCCCGGACTGAATTTCCCTCAAAAGGAACGCAAAAAAATTTGAAGAATCATCTCGATTTACTATTGCGTGCATTTATTCCTCTTTATACAGTTCGATTTGTTGATCATTTTGTTATATTACGCTTAATCACAATGCGAACTTTTCGGTTGCTTTTCCACTTATTTTTTGTGTATTTTTTGTTCGTTAATTAATGTATTGGTTGAGGCTAAAGGCGAGTGTAATATTGTTGTTAGTTAACATTGAGATGTTTTGAATTTATCTGCGTTAGTTTTTTTAAATTTTTGTATTTCATATTCGATAATATTTCGTGAAATGCACTGGAGTCTTTTTTCAGGAGAAATTTCGTCCGCGAGAAACTGTAACGATTAGAAAAATCTATCATTCCACTCATATAACGTTTGACCACTTGTTTAAAATAATAAATTCCCTCCATATATCAATAATTAAGGACGGACGAGTCTCCGGAAACATTTGAACAATAGTCTGGCCATATTCATCGTGTAATTACTCAGTCGACAGTTGTTAATATTACGTTGACTTATGGTTAAAGTATGATAGGCCCGTTTTTGTTGACTCTCACAGCACCCCATCGACCTGTAATATTTCGTTACAAGAAAAATACTGTTTTAATTAATGCTGCTGTATGCTGATAAACTGATAAAATACTTGGTGGTCCCTTCAATCGATCGATAAATAATTAGTATACTCCTCTTGGGAAGGTTCCTCAGCACATGGATTGTGCCGTGGGACAGGGGAATGATTGCGTTTAAGTACTTTCAACTCGACCTTACGAGACGAACTTCTCGGGGAAGAAGGTTTTCAAGGCATCCAGAGGCTTGTTCTTCATCCAACCAATGGGATCCGCCTCCACTTCCTCTTGAGTCAGGGTTTTTCCCTCGTGAATGTATTCAGCAAAGTCTGATACTATTGGATCCATTCCGACGCTGCTCATAGCGATGACTTGGCCATTTTTGTAGTGATAAGCGAAGAATTTTGAGGTCTCGAGGGACCCATGGATTTTTATGCTACTCGCAGCTCCATGACCTGTTGAAATTTCCAGAAATCAGAATTGAATTGGGTTGATGGAGACGGTTTATTCACGCAGAAGGAGAAGTCGTTGATTTTGAAGAACGTATTGGAATGAGTAAAATTACTAAATTGTTTTATTTCTATACTGCGTAGTACATTCAACAGTATTTCTCATTTTCTCTTCTTGGGCTGTTTAAATTCTGAATATTCAGAAATAGAAAAAATTGATATCCAAGTAAAATTAACAACAAAAAACGTTGCATCTTTACTAGAATGATATTGAAATCGATTTAAGGGGAAAAGTTGTGACATTTCATTGAAAATTCAATGATAATCGAAATTGGAAGGCATGAGAAAGACAAGGATTCCTGAAAATTACTGGATTTTTTAATTAAAACGTGAATATTCAGTCCCAAATAACGCTGAATTTTCAATTAATTGAAATTTGAAGAATACATTTTCTAGAACTTTCCTGATTTCCATTAATTTTCATGGAATAGTTGCACCGAAATTTAGTTTTCATCGATTTCTCCATAAAATTTTGAATTTTCTATGACGAAATTTCTTGAAATTTCAGTGGAATGAAAATATAATAAAAATTTCTAAATGTACCGGGAATTTCAACGGTATAATCGTTATTTCCTTATAAATATCTTAGACTCCACAAAAGATATCGAAATTTTGAGCATTGTCCATCCTTATAAAAATGATCTTTCAGTAAAATAACTAGCTAATGGGAAATGTAAAATACTGCCCAAACAACACGATTTCGATGAATCTGGCCTCACGTTGCAACTCAAGAAAACCATGAAAATGACACTTGATCCACCTAATTTCACTTTCCCAATTACCAAAAATCCCAAAATTACCTGCATATCGATAGCTCTTCCCAAACAAAGTAGTCCAGAAATAAGGAACAGCCCTGAGTATGGTATCCTTCCCACAAATATTGAGAGCAGCAATCCTCCCATGGTAATGTGCCAGTGAAAAGTGTCCAATCCCAGCTGGCTCATCGTTGGAGGCAAAGACAGGGGCATAAGCGATATCTCCCCCTGCATAAATCCCCTCGACACTCGTCTTGAGATGGTTATCCACTACGACAGACCCATCCCCCCTCATCTCCACGGCGGATTCCTTCATCCAGTCGGTGTACAACGTCGATCCAATTCCAGCAATGACAATATCAGCTGGGAGCACCTCCCCACTGGTCAGTTCAACCTGACTGAGACTCCCGTCCTCTCTCCCAATGAACCTCTCAATGTTCGTCTCGAACATGAACTTGATCCCCTTGCCCTCGAACTCCTCCCTCACCTTGTTGCCGATATCTTCCCCGAAGACAGCTTTGAGAGGGGTTTTGTCCCTCCCCACAACCGTCACTGAGGCAACTTTATTGGAGCAGTAGGCAGCAGCCTCCATACCGATGAAGCTCTGACCAAGAACAACGAGATTCTTCTCAGAAGACAATTGTTTGAATGTTTCTGCTGCATCTGCGTGATTTCTCAGCACGAAAATATTCCTCAGGTCTGAACCGGGGATGCTGGGTCTTCTGGGCTTGCTACCAGTTGCTATGAAAGCGTAATCGTACCTAAGGCTCTCCCCATCACTCAGTTTTATCGTTTTTTCAGCTGCATCGAGGCTCACAGCTTCGGTAGACAACTTTGTCTCGATCCTTCTTTCGTCGTAGAAACTTTGGGATCTCAAAAGTGACTTCTCAATGTCGAAATCCATGGTCTTGGAGACTTTTATCCTGTCATAGGGTAGGACTGGCTCCTTGCAGACCATGATCACACGACCTGGGAAGCCCTCGTGACGAAGTGTCTCGGCGCAAGTGGCGGCGGCCGGTCCACCCCCGACGATGACAACAGTTCTCTGATTATCGAGTTTGCAAGTGAATTCCTTGATTCGTCTGTTGGCATCTAGGTCCTTTCGTCGTGCCTGGACCTTAACGTCACCGTTGGTCACGGTGACCTTGTAGCAGGGGAGGGAGTCCAGGCCAGGGTAGTCCTCTATGTCGCCTGTCTTGATGTTGAAGCAGGCTCCGTGCCAGGGGCACCTCACTCTCCCCTCCCCGAGGGCTCCAGTGTGCAGGAGGGCACCGTAGTGGGTGCATTTCGTGCCTATTGCGTGGAGTTCGCCCTTCTGCTTTATGAGGAGGATCTTCCCACCCTCGTCGCCCAGGGGAAGCATCTTCATCTCATTGTCGGAGATTTCGTTCGCCTTGCAGACGACACCCTCGACATACTCGGACTTGTCTGCTTTACCTGGGGAGAATGGGCTTCACATCGTATTAAAATTGTAATGATTCAGGATTTTATAAAAATTTCATAGAAAAATCTAGCGCTTTCACGTATTGAAAAAATCGAAAAGGATATTTTTTATGCAAATTATTTCTGTACGATTTCTATAGGTTTGATCCTGTACGACCCACTGCCATATGTATAGAAACATTTCGTATGGAGTGGCGATGTTTTTCTACGTTTTTCTCTGGAACGTTTAGACATCTTTCGTATGAAAAGAAAAATTTGTCGAAATTTATGTATAGAAATAATTTGTATAGAAAATATTCGTTTAGAAATATCCGAATATTATATACGAAAATCCTATAGAATTTCTATACGCAATCCGTGTAGAAAATTTCTATACGATTTTTTCGTACGTGTTCGATAGATGGTTCGACGCGTCCTAGGAGAAATGGCACAAGTCGGGGGGAGGATTCAAAGGGTTCGGAATCATTTCTCTGAATTATCCCATGTCTTCCAGGATAGGTCGAGTCCTATTGAACTTCTACTGAAAATTGTATGGATTTTGGATTTTATTCAGATTTCATTAAAATTTTATAGGAAAACCAAGCGCCTTTACTGGGCAATTCGATGAAAGAGAAGAAAGAGATGAAAGAGAAGAGAAGACATAGCTCAGGGGAAGGATTCAAAGGGAATCCCAAAATTCCAATTTAAAAAGATTCAATTCAATGGTGTAGTTTAAAAAGGACAAACTCAATTCCTCCCGCAAGAAAGCACTATCTGAGCTAAAATTTAAATAGGCGTCACTCAGATTTCAAGCAATAATACTTTGTTCCATATTACATACGAGACATTCCACAAAAAGTCTCATGGGTTTTCCGCCTTCAAATTTAGATTTTGAATTTTCGTTTATATTTTGGTAACAACACTAAAATGAGTAAACTGTGAAAATTTCAGACCTGTTACTATTTTTGCGTTTTTCTCATTTTCTCATTTTTACAGTTTTCATGTGACTGAATTAAAAAAAATATCTATAGGTAATACCATTTTCCATCAGAAATTTTCTGAATTTTTCAACAAAAATATTTTTTAAATGTTATGTTTGAATTTTCACTATGAATAATGAAGTTCGATGGGGAAAAGTGAAAAATAACAACGTTCCTCAAAATTTTTATTTCATTTTTTTGAAAAGCGACAATTTTACATAAAATCCATGCATAAAAAAAGCGGCCACTGTGGGTTTAATGACAAAAAAAGCAAAATCACCATTAAAACTCATTATTCATAGTGAAAATTCGGAAATTCAAAACCCATGAGACTTTTTGAAATGTCTCATATACATAATTCTCACAGTTTCAATTAATTTACCGACAATTGTATTATCAACTCCATTATCAAGTCCATTAATATCAAATATCAAGTAAAAACAAAATAAATAGAACGGGAGCTAAAGACTTAGGGGAGGGTGGGGCAAACTGGATACTTGTGTCTTTTTCAAATGTTCTTTTTCAAATCTCATTGAATTTTTGAGGAAATGGAATTATTTTTTCTTCAATGGGAAGTACAATCCTTTACCTTCGTGATGAGCCTAGACTGAGCTCAATGATAAATTTATTCGTGAGTTATGAACATTGACGAAAAAATCCAGTGCCCATTTTGTCCCATTCAGCCCTAATTGTGGACAGCTGCTATTGTCCGAGTCCCAGGGCCTCTACTTGAGGCTCACGCCTTTTCGAATTTCAACAGAGATAGTGCTTTCTTGTGGGAGGAATTGACCAGTCTTTTTTGACCTACAGCATTGAGTTGCATCGATTTGAATTATAATTCTGAGATATACCTTTTTGAATCATTTTCCCGACTCATTCATTTTCTTCTAGGGCACGTCGAATCGTGAACTAAAAACTCTATTTGTTTTTCACTGATTCTATCGAAAAATTTGGAACTTTTCTGCGTGTTTTTTTTGTAGAAATTTTGAAAGTCTTGATGTTTTTAATATTTTTCGAAGGTTTGGCGTACCTCCCATGTTTATGGTACTCTATTTGTTTTTATAACAGGTGACCCTGTCCCAGAATGACAGACATGCGCAATCTCGTGCGATTGTGCAGTACTATTCACATTGGCAAATCGATGGAATCAATTTATTCGAATTTTGATGTAATGAATGAGAAAATAACGGATTAGGAAAGTTTGTTCACCTTTTTTGGGCTCGACTGCAGCCTTTTTGGATCCCTTTTCCCTGGTAGAATAGGACTTGCTGTTTCTACCACCCATTGTGTCTACTGGGGTTCAACGGTGTCTGCGAATGTAGGCGCAATGGTGATTAGACTTATGTGGAGACATGCACGTAATTGAAATCTGTTGATAAAGTGATAAGACGTGGTGAGTGAGAGAGTCAGTGTCTACGGAAATCCATTTGGTTGTGAATTATCTGCTGAAATGTCACGTTTCAGTAGATAATTCATTTGTAATAACAATAACATTATTTTTAAATATGGATTTTTCAATGCAAATTGTGAAACAGATTTTTCACGCAAGAAAAAATTTAATAGAAAAACCTATCGAATTCGTTGGAAAATTCTATTGAATTTCTATTGAACTGTTCTATTAGTTTTTGGCTGATTCTATTGACATGTTCAACAGAAAACATTCAATAGAAAAAGTCAACAGAATTCGATTTTTCAATATAACTTATTCTTTTCCTATATTTTCTATAGAATTTGCTCGGCTCAAATTTTCCAATTTTTTTTCATTCTATTTTTCTTTTCTTCTCATCAAGAAAATCAAACGAAAAAACTTGGAAAATTTGAGCCGAAGAAATTCTATAGAAAATATCTCAATAGAATAAGTTATATAGAAACATTGAATTCTGCTGACTTTCTCTACTAAATATTTTTAATTATTGAAGTAATTATCAATTCAAATATTAAAATTATTTATTAATCAATAATTTAGTTAGGAAAATTGACAATTATTTGGGTAATCGGAAATGCGTTATAAGAAATTTACTATTACTTAATAGAAAATTTACAGTTCCATATTATTAAATATTTAATTCATCATCAATTGAAAATTTAGATAATTATTTTTCTATTTTTAAATTTGGATTAGGATATTCACGCATTATGTCCGGAGAAATTGAAATGAACGAATTTTCATCAAATGTTGAGTACATCCAGCGAAATAGTTTATTTGAGTTAAGAAACAATTATGTAAATTACATAAACTTTCTTCAACTCAAATAAATGGAAAAAAATAAACAAATGTTTTCTTGATCCAAACGAAGCCTTTATAAACAATCTATTGTTTGAATGAATAGAAAAACTTTATGTAAAGAGTTTCACCTCAAGAAAGTGATTCATTTTTTCCAATCTCATTATTTTCAAACATGAATTCTTTAGATATTTTTCGTTAATTTAAATTGTGGAATTCATTTTCAACACGTTTAAAAAGTTGAATATTTTTCCTTGACTTCTGTAGAATTTCATGGAATAATCAGATATTGATTTATCATTAAGAATCATTCGATTGAATCTAGAGAAACGGGAATAAACGGATTCCCACAAGATGTTGAGTAGATAAAGACAATTCGTTGAATTCAATAAATTAAATTAAATAAAGTCCACTCACGAGTTATATATTCGTAGTTACCTGCATTCCCACTGATAATAAACTGACACGACGCCTCCTTCGAAAAGTGAAAGGAAACCGGGGAAGTCCTCAGCCTCGTTGTTGTGAAACACTAAGTTGCGCTCCTAATTCATTTGACTCACCTACGTTCGGAGTACGTGGAGTCGTGGAGTGAGGGTAATTTAGTGAACTGTAGACGTCGCATATTTGTCAGTAATTAAAGAGCATGGAGTAGTCATTACCGTAATGAGATTCATGACAAAGATGAATTCTATATGAGACAGGGAATGCTTTGAACAATGAGAATACTGTCTTCAACGTGGATGTTTGATTATCATTCCGATTAATTAATCCATTCGACATTAGAAAATGTTTTTTCTGGTGATTCGAAAGTATTTATTTGTATCAAGATCAGGTACCAATGCCAAGTGTGCATGAACATTCTGAGAATTGTTGGGAATTCTGTGTCACGGACACTCGTCTAATGGATCAATAGTTTTTTTCTTTTTCGAACAAAAAAAAATCAATAGGAAAACCTAGTGAATTAACTGTAAAATTCTATTGGATTTCCATTGAAATTTCTATTAGTTTTTGGCCGATTCTAAAATATTGTTGAAAAAAAAATCATAGACTTTGGTTTTTCTGAATTTTTCTGTCGTAATCGAAATATTTCCTATAGAAATCCCTTTGCTGAATTTTTCCAAGTTTTTTGCTTCGTTCTTTCAATGAAAAGCGGAGAAAAATGGAGTGAAAAAAAAACGTTGAAAATTGATGTCGAGGAATTCCTATAGAAAACATTGTATAGAAAGATGAATTTCTAATGATTTTTCTGTAAATTAGTTTCTTTTGTACATTTTTATGCGAAAAACACTGAAAAGGGCCGGAATTCTTCAATAGAATCGGCCGAGAAATATGCTTATGCTTTTACATAGTTTGCTCAAAATGTAATAAAAATTCTGTGCAATCTCTATGAAATTCGTTAGGTTTTTCGATGAAATTTTTTCATGTGTTTACATTTTTTGCATTCTCGTTAAAATTGGTCAAGTGATTCTTCTATAAAGATCTAATTTTGGAGAGATGGAGAAATTTTTTTTGTGGAGCGAAGTGAGAGTTAAAAATAAAAAAAAATATTACGGCAGTAACAGTGAATTGACACCATTTAATAAATTGACTGGAACCTAAAGAAGCTGTAAAAAAATTCTCAAGGAAAACAGTTTACAAAAATGTTCTTATCTGTCTTCAATTTCAAGATAGAATGTGATAAGAATTACCTTCGCGGAAATTTTTATCACATTATAATTGTACTGAAATTCCAAGGAATTCGGTAATTGAAACTTCAAGATTTCCTGGAAAAATTAATGTAAACTTTAAACTTTCCTTCAATTATTCCATGGAAATAAATACAAATCATAAAAATTCAGGTAAATACATTCTAGAATTTTCATCGTCCTGAATATCCAGTGTAATTTGGTGCTGAATATCCATATTTTTACTGAAAATCGAAGTAAGGTTGAGATATTCTCGTCTTTCTGCTGCTGAAAGCATTGGTTTTTCATTGAAGTTCCAGTAAAATGTGAAATTTCACGAGTTTCCCCTCCAAATGTAATTAAATATCGCTCTCCTAAAAATAAACACTAAACCTTCATGAAATTTCAATCGTTTTCTAACAGTTATTCATCAGAAATTGCAGTCTGATTGAAATGGGCTTCACCGCCACAACCACATTTTAATTATTTATTTATTCATCTGATGTATACCCTCTCTCGGGTTTTTATATTTTATATTTTTAAGTTTTACATTGTTTTAATATTATTATTACTATTACCTGTGAATTGAGGGAAGAGTATTGTGACTTTCAAAAGTCGCGGTCTATTGGAATGAGATTACTCACACAATGAGGATCGACTATATATGTCTAAAAATGAATAATTAGTGCAAAAAAATGAATTGTTTATTGTTCGTTTGCCCCGCAGATGCTTAAAATGTTAAAAATAGTCCCGGGCCTCCGTTTTTTGAAATACAGAGGTTTTTCTTCTCAACATTTTTTTAAAAATCTGTAATAACTATTCTATGAATTAGTTTGTTAAAATTAGACTCCTACATAGCTAATTTCGGTCTTTTTTAAAATGAAAAATTACACCATTCATGTAAAATAGTCAAAAAAATGTTTCTGAAAAAATCGAGAATATAGGAGAGGGTAGGGTAAGATGGACACTTTTGACATTTTTTAAAATATTCATGACGTGTTGAATTGTTCATGAAATGGAACAATTTTATTTTTCAATTGAAAGAACAATGATTCCTCTTTGTGATGAGCTTAGACTGAGCGCAATTGATAAATCTGTTTCTGAGATATGAATATTTAAAAAAAAGTCAAAAGTGTCCATTTTACCCTACCCTCCCCTATTTTAAATATTTTAAGGATAATTTTTTGCCTATCTTACATGAATGGCGCAAATGTTTTATATTAAACAACACAAAATTAGCTGTGTAGGAGTTGAAATTCAAGAAACTAATTCGTAAATGTTATTGACCATTTTTTTTTAATTAAAAAAAAACCTCTGTAGCTCAAAAATTTGATCCCGTGGACTATTTTTACCATTTTAAGCATGTGCAGAGCAAACGAACAATAAACAATTATTTTTTTGCACCAATTATTCCTTTTTAGACATATACAATCGATCTTCAATGCACCAGAAATCTCACTCCAATCGTTCGCGACTTTTAAAATTCATAGTAATCTCCCCTTGATAAAAAAATGAAAATCATGTGGTGACGTCAGTGAATTGTAAAAAATGCAAAAACAATTGTTAAATTTTTAAACCAATTTTCCCAAGTTTTCTATAGGGGAGGTTGGGGTAAAACGGACACTTTTGACTTTTTTAAAAATGTTAATGAAAGGTTGAAATGTTGGCGAAATTTAATAATTTTCTTTCAATACAAAGAACAATTCTTTCCCTTTGTGACGAGCCTAAACTGAGCTCAATTGATAAATTCGTTTCTGAGTTATGAACAATTAATAAAAAAGTCTAGTGTCCATTTTACCCCACCCGCCCCTATTGCTGATTGAATTTCAAAACTGGCGACAACTAGAGGTCACCAGGCGTCAATTCCCCTGCAGGTCCCCTGCAGGTGGAGATTGGAGGAGCCGAGAAGTCCATCGCCTTGTCTATAAAAATGGCGACCCGTCTCCTGAGGCTCGGCACCGCGTTGCGGACGTATTCCGACAAAACAAATCTTGTCAAGGTAATTCAACAATTCCCAGTAGATGATCAACCTCCCCAGATCAATATTCCCTCATTTTTCCTGAATTTCCTCTCTCCATTCATGTGAATTCCCCCTCTTACGTAATGCCACAGTGCCATCCCATGGATTTTGTCATCAGGATAGCTAAGATGTAGATCTAGATTTATCAGTGTGTCATATGTGAATTGCTAGAGCCGCAAACAATGGCAGTCGACGGCGGCCTCGTTGAAGGAGGTTCTGATAAACCAGCCCCCAACCAAGACAACAACGATGGAGAGTGGGATGAGAGTGGCTAGTGAAGACACTGGTGCTCCTACAGCCACTGTGGGATTATGGATCGACGCAGGGAGTCGGTGTGAGACTGACAAGACCAATGGGGTTGCTCACTTCATGGAACACATGGCTTTCAAGGTACATAATCCATGGAAATGTCTTCTTCGTTCTGATTGTCAATCCATCCTCTAATAATTGTCGTTCTTTCAATACTTGTGAACTTTTTCTCTTGGAGATTTCGATGAATATCTCCTACGATTGCAAGGATGATGAGTACATTTTCATCGGAATCTTTTGGAGGAAGTGCCAGCTACAGAATGGTCCTCACGATAATTGTCTCATCTCTTCTGAATGTCGAGATATTTTCGAAAAACTAAAATTTAACAGTAATTGCTGTTACTTTGTAATTTGCTGGGTATTGTTTTGTTAAAGTATTTTTATCATCGTTAGTTTCTGTGGCATTAGTCTGAAGACTAATGAATGAATTGAATTCAATTGAAATCAGTACTGAAGGTGAAAACCGAGAACAAGAGGGTGATTTTCTGGTGAATATGTCTTAACGTCATTTCTGCTGACCAGAAAACTGCTGCTGATGGATGTCCAGTAATTTAAAAAAATTGTTTTCTGGAAAATTGTCCCATCTCAAGTGTCCTAAACTCTTTTCAATCTCGAGATATTTCCCAGCTTTAATGTAACTTCATTACTCTTCACTTCCTCAGTAATGAAGTTACATTAAACCTAAATTCAGAAGAAATTTTCCTTATCATACATCTCTAGATGAAAAGTTATCTCTCCAACTCTTGAAAAGTTATTAAAACCACATTTCCAACTCCAGGGCACAGCGAAGCGTTCGCAAACCGATCTGGAGCTGGAGATTGAGAACATGGGAGCCCACCTGAATGCCTACACGAGTCGAGAGCAGACAGTCTTCTACGCTAAATGCCTCTCCCAGGACGTGCCCAAGGCCATCGAGATTCTCAGCGACATAATCCAGAATTCGAAGCTGGGGGAGAGTGAGATTGAGCGCGAGCGAGGGGTGATCCTCAGAGAGATGCAGGAAGTGGAGACTAACTTGCAGGAGGTGGTCTTCGATCATCTGCACGCAGTGGCTTACCAGGGCACTCCCCTGGGGCGAACGATCCTCGGGCCCACTGAGAACATCAAGTCCATCACGAGGAATGATCTTGTGAACTACGTGAGGACTCATTATGGACCTCCAAGGTTTGTTCGACTTTTGGAGTTAATTTTCGAGAGAACAATTCCCGAAGGAGATTTTCAAATGAAATTTCGTTGATGTTGATTTTTACAAAGAACGTCAACGACTTAAATCAGAATTTGATCTTTCTAAACAACTTTTTCTATTGAGATATTTTCTATACGAATTTCTTGGCATGAATTTTCTACGTTTTTTCCTCCTCATTTTCTTCGCTGAAAACAATTGACAAAAAAACGTAGAAAATTTGAGGCGGGGAATTTTCATAAAATACCCTGACAGAAAAAATTAATGGTATCAAGAGAATTTTGTTTTCATTTTATTTCAGAGAAATTTATTATCATTTGGTTGTTAATTTTCAAAAAAACATGATTTCATAGTAAATACCAGTTATTTCTTCTTGAGATACATTTGATTGGGAGAAATCGAACTTCTCTAGAATTGAAGTTCCTCTTAGTTGTCGCAATAATGAGAGTATTTGATTTTTTTCTACCCAACAGTTTCCTAACTCTGAAGATTCTATTAGGTTTAAAAAAATTGAACTTTCTTGTTCTTCTGGTGAATGGATCTCAAGAATAAATAATTTTTATCAACCGTAATATCTTATTTATTTGAAATTGGTTCAAGTCTATAATACTTGTTCCAAGAAACTTCTCAATAAAAATAATTTTTTCTACCAGTGTATCTCAATAGAGTAAATTGTATAAATTCCACCTATAAGCTGTGGAATTTTTTTGTACATGCGTGTCCATCAAACCAATACGGAATATTTATTTCCCCTAATATTTTCATTCATCTCCATATTCATAAATTGAAGTGAAGGAATCAGAGTATTTGGAGAAATAATAATAACTTAATCAACGTTGTTGTTATTTCTCCAAATACCCTGCTTCCTTCACCTCAATTTATTTCTCCATTAAAGAATTACAGATAGATATTCTCGATTGGCTAATATTTAATTTCGAAAGAGAGAATTTATTCTTCTCAGAATGGAAATTTCTGTGTTGTTAGTCCAAGCATCTTTTTAACTCGGGGATTTTTTGCTCTGCATTGATGCCAGAATGATTAAAAAATAAACTAATTAATTTATAACATAAACTAATTAATATATTCAAACATTCCATTTTTGTAATCATAATTAAACCGATTAATGCTCCTAGGTTTGTCCTGGCTGGTGCTGGTGGTGTGGATCATGCCCAGTTAGTTGATCTCGCTGACAAGCACTTCGGTAAGATGAAGGGGCCTTTCTACGACGAGATCCCACCCACCCTCGTTCCATGTCGTTACACGGGCTCAGAGATCCGAGTTAGAGACGACTCGATGCCTCTGGCTCATGTTGCCCTCGCTGTCGAGGGTGCTGGGTGGACCAGTGCCGACAACATCCCCCTTATGGTGGCCAACACACTCATGGGTGCCTGGGATCGCAGCCAGGGTGGTGGAGTCAACAACGCCACGAACCTCGCCAGAGCGTCCGCTGAGGACGGCCTCTGCCACAGCTACCAGAGTTTCAATACTTGCTACAAGGACACTGGACTCTGGGGGGTGTACTTCGTGTGCGATCCCATGCAGTGCGAGGACATGGTCTGGAATATCCAGCAGGAGTGGATGAAGATCTGCACGAGTATCACTGAGAAGGAGGTCAACAGGGCGAAGAACATCCTGAAGACCAATATGCTGCTGCAGCTCGATGGGACCACTGCCATTTGTGAAGACATTGGGAGACAAATGCTGTGTTATGATCGTAGAATTCCCCTTCATGAACTCGAAGCCAGGATAGATGTAAGTTCAATAGTATTTATTTCAGTAACGAAGCGGCAAAACTTTAAGTCGAGTTGGCTCTTAGCTGAGTTTTCGAGGAATATCTCCGAATCTAACGGAGATTGAGAAATTTTTGTAGAAACATTTTTTGTAGATCTTAATTCGCTCTACAAAAAAGGTTCCAACAAAAATTTTGCTATCTGCTTTAGATCTAGAGATGTGCGTTGATAACTGACCAATAGTTGTTTTCCATGCATATTAGAATGCTAGTTAGGCGCGTTTTTCTCAGTGCCGCCCTTTGGGTCCAAGTTTTTTTAGTCGTGTGGAGTTGTGGCCAGCAACACTAGTGAAAAACCCCATCGTAACAGCCTGGAAGATTTTTTTTTGTAGCGATTTCCAAGTTTACGAGTTCGGAAAGCATGCAATAATAATTCTTAGAAGACTCAGAAAATCGTGGCAAATTTTACTGTACGAAATGTCATTCGATTGAACAAAAACACCGATGGATACAAAAATGGTATAATATTATATATTATATGAAAAGATATATAAAAATGAAAAAAAGAAAACATGGCGTGGCATCACAACCTGAAGAATCCCCTCTCTGCCAATCGTGTGGCGTAATGTTTAAATGCCCCCTTATGAGACTCCTCTCAGATGTATAATTTTAATTAATTCTCTCCCTTGAATTTTTCAGAGTGTCAATGCAAAAACAATTCAAGAAGTTGGAATGAAGTACATCTATGACCACTGCCCAGTCGTCGCAGCAGTTGGACCAGTCGAGAATCTGTCGGATTACAACACGATCAGAGCTCAGCAGTACTGGATCCGTGTTTAAGTCCACCCTCCGAAAATTTAGCGAATAAAGAAAACTTAAAATCATGGTAAAGTCGTGTAATTGTCAGATCCTTTTTACGATCTGACATGTACACGAAGTTTATTCGATAGTGAAGTTATTGTAAACTTTGGTTTCTCGAATGAAAGAATACGGGATGAGGGACTCGGTATAGTCACGAGTTCAAACCAAATCTCATTATTTATCATGTGAAAGTGAAACTGTAAAAATATTATGTAATTAACAAAAAGAACTCACTGTACTTCGTTAATACGAAAAAACTTTACTGAAAAATATACAATTCGTCGTTTTTATTTTTCTGTTCTGTCTTTTTAATTTTTATTATCGATGACAAACACAAATAATGAACAATTGTCTTGGTGTAAATGACTAGATGAATTAAGTATATGCAATGTGCAGAGAGTAGTTGACAGAGATATTTTCAAATGTAGAAAACTTGAAAAATTGGAGATTTGAATATGTCAATTGATTTCATTCACTGGAATCATTAGATCGTTTATTCTATCCTAAGTTGACTATCTCGATTGACTATTGGAGGGTGTGCTTGAAGGCGCCGTCGTATCTTTGCACACTTTGGACGTCATTTCAGATAGTGGCTCGAGTTCTTTCACATTTATCAGCTCGAACTCAGTCACGAAGTAGTAGAAGTGTTTGTAGCACGTATTCACGTGGGCTTCCTGCAGATAACAAATTCAATGAGTCCATTATTCTGGACGACCTTTTTTCCTGGTTATAATTCTGCGCTGATTCTCTTCTGTTATGTGGGAAAATGAGATAAATTGAAAAATTCTATTCATTTCATTTCACACACATCTCTGAAACCATCAGGCTTATCGAGAAACTACAGAAAATCATTTATGTAGCTCGTGAAATTGAAAAAAAAAAGACTTGACAATTTTTTTCACAAGCTGAACAAAATCATGTTCATGGAAATCTCGAATCGAACCAGTATTAGAATTTTATCCACTGTATTTTGTAATGATCTCTTAAACGATTTAATTTATTAGGAAATGGTCTCTCATAAATTTTAAAATACGTTGAAGGTAGCAAATAAGAGAATCTGTTGGTAGATTTTAGCTCAAAAGGCTCATTCACAGCATTTTGTTGAGATCTCTTGGAGTATTGAGTTGAACTAGAATAAGAAATACCGAAAGATCAATTTTGCTCGGTTTCTCCACTCCTAAAATTCACGAGAATCCATCAAGAGTTAATTTTTTTAGAAAATTTCTCAAGCTTCTCAAAAATGATCTTGATGAATTTTCATAAATTCCTCGACTATAAAAAAATCAACAAAATATTCTGTAAAGGAATATCCCGTCAAATGCATGAAAAATGCGATCCACAGTATTTTGAAAATTCATTGAAAAATATCTGAACATTATTTTTGTTTCCCCCAAAATCCTCTACAGAAAGAGAAAATTTTTTTTTTAAATGTCCAACTTATCTACTTTCAACACCATCATGAGTTTCAGTGTAAATTTATTGTCATGCTCTATCATACATACTCACCGCCCCAATCGCCACGATTCTATCGAAGTGATGAATGTACACATGAACAAATACCCGAAACAATCGAGTGAGAATTTTTTTACACAGACCGATGAAGGTCTTGGGAAAGGGAATATCCGTGGAGACAGGAAAGACATTTTCGTTATTGATCTGTGTCTCTATCCAATCCATCAAAAGGCTCACGTACTGTGGAGCCGGAAGGGCAGTGGGTTTCTTATACTTTTCACCATCGGCCCACAAATACTCGAATCTCGCGCCTCCACTCATCGTGGGACACGACGCAGAGTCGCAGTATTCAGATATCGTTCCATAAATCAGGTTTATCCTGTTGAAGAAATCTACGACTGTGGAAAAAAATATGAATACATCATTCAGTGATAATTATTCGTGAACATGGGACTTTACTGGACCCTAACATCAACGTGAAAAACACTCCTATGAGTTTCATAACATGAATTTTATTTTAATGGAAGTGGGTCATGAAAAAATTCTTAAACGCAGTGAATTTACTTTTGTCTTTCTTTATTAATATGGCACGAGGAAGAAAGTCTGTACTCTACGAATTGCTCCAACAGACTAAATACCGGTCTCAAAGACCAAAAAGAATATCGTCACCTATCGACAAAGAACTCTCAGTTCTTTCTGCCCATGGAGTTATTGTTTATGTTTATATTAACTCTCCGGCGCTCTCTACGTCGATTCGTTTTTGTACGCAAAATCTCATCAAATAAGTTCTCAGTAAAAAGCTATATAATTCAACATATTTAATCACCAATATTTCGTGACTAGACAATACGAATGTAATCAAATTAATTTTTCTTATTATGCGAAATTAGTTTTACTAATGATAAAAAAAAGATTCCTCAACTCTTTTCCTATTCGATCATATTATCCTCATGGAAATTAATTCAATTACGAAGAAGGATGCAAAATTGCCCTAACGACATCATCAATATCTACAAGTACAGAAATGGGTGATTTGAATTCCACAAAATTTATTGACATTAAATAAATGGGTTTACGAAGAGTACAGTTCTTTCTCAACTCAACGGAAATTTGTTTCAGAGTCATGAATATTGAAAAAACCGTCAGAAATATTCATTTTGCTCCATCCTCTCCTATATCTCAAAGACAAACCTCGCAGGAGAGAAATGTCCGGCTTTGTTTTTTATAGAAATTGAAGTTTTGTAAAATCCTCTGACATTTTGTTCTGAAAGCCTCGTTATCTCGATACTTCATTTAACCAATCGACTCATTCTATTCTATTGCATTTGAAACTTGTCATTTGAATTCCCCTTACCATGCACTGCGATCCAATCATTCATATCCTCTCCAGGTGGCAATTTAACAGCCGCGCGAAGATTGATCCCCGAATTCAACGATGCCTGGGCCTGTTTATAGAGCGAATACCGCAAAGTTCCATGAGTGAACTTTTTCTTCGGTCTGAATGTCTAAAAACCGGAAAGACCCTTCATCATACTAACTGGATAATTCGCGTGTCAGTTAAATATTCAAGTGTAATTCATTACATTCACCTTTCCCTTCTGGAAGAACTCGATGAATCCACTGAGCGATGCCATCTCGCCTCGAACAAACTGATTACACGTTCTTACCCACTTCCCGTGTCGATTATCGTCGTTGGAATGACTGGAATTAGAATACAATCAGAATGCCGGCAATCATTCCCCCTTTGCGCTTGTCACCAGCCAGCATTGTACTCAAAGCACTCGAGTTTTTTCTCCTTTTTCGTCGAGGACAGGTGGAGTAGCATCTCGCGACACTTGACCATCTACGCGCATCACGAACACAGGCACAACAGGGGGTATAATTATGTTTTATTCTGTATTTTTGGTCTGTGTCAACAGCCTCTGGGTGGGCGTTGATGGGTAAAATCGATGGTAGAATTTCTGGAAAAATCTGTGGGTAAGCGACTCGATCGGTAACTGTTCAGAGTCATCTCCAGGGGATTCCCCTAAGTCAACTGGACGAATGACAACTTTATCGATTCGGAATTTTGAAATCGAAATGATTTCCGTAGAGAGCTCTAACTTTTTGCTACTAAAATAAAATGGTAATTTCGATCCGAGTGCGTAAACAGTGGATTTCGGCATAAGGCTGGAAAATATTTTTTGTTATGACCGTCGTAGGCTACGCGGTGAAATAAACGATTCATTTGATCTTAATAAAAGAGTATTATACGTTAATAAATTAGTTTCCGACACGATAACATTTCTTAGAAAAACCTGGCGAACTCGGTAGAAAATTCTATTGAATTTTTATTGAAAGTTCTTTCAGTTTTTGGCGGTTTCTGGTGAAAAATTCCGCAGCTTTACTGTGCATTTTTTACAGAGAATGCCCAATGGAGAAAATTTTATAGCAGAAATCAGTGGACTTTTATCTTTCTAGATAATTTTTTTTATTTGAGATATTTTCTGTAGGAATTGCTCGACATGAATTTTTCAAGTTTTTTCCATATACAATGAGTTGTATAGGACAATTTAATTCGATTGATTTTTTTCTATAGAGGATTTTCCAATGAACATTTGGATTGAAAAAAAGACGCACACATAAGCTATAATTTTTCAATAGACTAGTGTCAACTGAAAACTAATAGAAAGTTTAATACAAATCTGATAGAATTTCTGAACGAATTCGCTAGGTTTTTTAATGAAATTTCTTTGTACGCGCGTCCTCGCGTTCTAAATATTAAACTCTCCTCTCTAGTCAATTGAAAAAGATTCCCAGATTTGTTTTCCTGTAAAAAATACCCTGGAAATTTTTTTTTCCTGCAAAATCTTGCCCCTGAAAAATATTTCTCAAGAAAAGTTCCCATGTCCTAAAAAAAAACAGGTGAAATTTCCCTTGAAAATATTCAATTAGACATATTTGAACACATCATCAATTCATTTTATTGAACGGGATTGACCGCGCCTGCTGCGCACGCGCCTTCTCATCTCCACACGTAGTGGCGCTTCGGTTTCAGTCTTACGCTTACGCTTATTCAAGATTTTTCGAGATATTTCGAGATCGATTTCCTTTCTCCTTTTTACGATAGGATAGGATGTAACATTCATTATTTCCTTGAAGTCGACAATTTCTTAACATCATGAATAAATTACAAACACCTTTTCATCAAAATAGGATTTCCCTCTTCAAATAGAACATCTATAAAAAGACAAAATTACAATCCAGATTCAGTTTTTCCTTTATAGATCAATCATTTTTAATATTTTTCTTCTACGCTACAAAAAACGAAATTCAATTGGCATTGTCTGAAAACAAACTCCAAGCCAAATCCCACACGGAAAAAATTCGTAAGGGAAATTAATTTCAAAGGGAAGAATTCGCCGAGAAAGGAATTTCGGGGAAAAAATTTCCGGAAATTTTTCAATGAGGGAAAAACTCCGGCCACCATTACAAAAACTTCATATTTGTTATTAAAAAATTGATGAATGAGATAATCCATACGTTTAAGACCTCTATGATTAATTTCGATAATTTACTCACAAAAACAATAATTTTTAGAATTTCACGAAAACAATAATTTTTAGAATTTCTTTTTTGTGAAAACCCTCAATGACTCGAGCCGTAAGGGTAGAGCTACTTTAAATGAGTGTGTGAGGCATTTTATCCTCCTTAATGTCACTAAATGATCGTCAACCTTTCGTGACGTACCTAACGCTGAATAATTAACCGTGGAGTGAAAAAAAAATTCTCACGGACGTAGGGGGTAACTAAAGCGTTTAATTCATTTATGAAAAGAGGGTCTTTGGCGGCAGCTATGCGGCTTCCAACGGCAATATGTGCCATAACACAAAAGAGCCATACCTGTATTGATAATGCAGCCCTCCAGGCCAAACTTTATCCAACTCCATTTCGATGTGGAAAAGTTTGTTCGAGTTGTTGTTGAGGAGTTGTAACAATTCACCGGAATCCAACGGAGGGTTTCCCAGTGATCGTTTGAGGCTCTTGTGCCTAATTGAATTAATACCGAGTTGATCAAGTTTCAGCGTTTTTCTGTGCACTCGAGAGTGTCTACTCAAGCCGGCCAATTTACCGGCCGGATACAATCCACTCAATAAAACATGCGTTTTATTACTGACAGTGGAATCAATCCGACTGGTGATTCGAGGAAAATAATGTGTGTCTCATCGATCAATTTCGGCGTGACCACTGTGTTTTTTGAGGTAATCATAGAGTGGCTGTGGCCTCTGATGCTCAGTGCTCCCCGAGGTGTTGTCTATTGGTTCTAATCAATTCATTGATTATTCTTTCTCCGTTTATTTTCAGAGTTGACACGCTCGGTTTAATTGAAAAAGAGAATGAACGTTTCTTCCGTTCGTCAGAAGTGGGCATTTTAATTGAAAAAGTATGATAGTGGTGCTGATTTTTTTCATCGTTCAGGCTTCCGGGTTCGAGGATAATATCTGCAGAAATCAAACCATCTTGCAAACACCTGGCGATGCTTTATTAACTGGTGATTCATTGATTCTCCATTTTCGTGCAGTGGTGAAGTGTTACGGAAGAGGGGATTTTTTACGTCTTGATATATATTGGATTTTATCTGAGTGATTTCTTTTATTTATTTTATTGGGGCAAATGTTGACACTTTTTTCACGAAATTTACGCAGCTAGAAAAGAATTCTCAAATTGTTGCCGAAATGCTCACGTTTTAGAGACGAAATTCAAATGAACAAAATTTATTTTGCATTATCTCCACGGGTGATTGTAAAAGAAAATGTGAAGAAATGTTTTTCGTTGAAAATTGTGTAAACTACAATAAAAGAGATTTTCACATTCCGTTCGTAATACGTTTATTTTCGAAATAAATGTGGAAGAAACAAAAATATAAAATTTCATAGTTACGTTTGATTAATTTCGTTTCTACATCCACACTACAATGACTTGAGAAATCTTTGAAATTTTATGAAGTAATAATTCGGAATTAGAAGTTAGTAAATATTTTAACCTTAGTCTGGTCACCAAACGCGGGGATTCCCCGCTGTGTTATTGAGGCTCTAGCGTTGCCAAATTCACTATATACTGTCCGGGCGCGTTTAGCGAGTTTCCGGCAGTGGCGTGTCATGGGCAATTTCATTTAACATGGGAAACAATAATTCATCTCTGCGAAATAATTTATTTTCTTTAGAAATTTTGGGAAATATGTTGTTCTAAAAACCACTATAATTTTTAGAGACTTCAATTGACAAAGTCAATTTTTTTAAATTTTTCCGATTAGTCAGTCCATTGTAATTAAAGAAAAACGACGTGCGGTGAGGTTTCCCTCATAGGGTGATCATTCTAGGGTTTCATCATTTCTATGATAAATATCAGTGAAAAACGTCTAAAGACATACTTGTTTGAGAATTTCTACGACTGAAAAAACGTTTTCTGACATTTTCACCCGGTGCTTCCAAGAAAAGCAGAATGATTTTTTCACACGGACGAAAAAATTTAATAGAAAAACCTGTCGCAGTCGTTAGAAAATTCTATTGAATTTTTATTGAACTGTTCTATTAGTTATTGGCCGATTCTATTGAAATGTTCAATAGAAAATATTCAGTAGAAAAAGTCAATAGAATTTTTCTATATAACTTATTCTATTGAGATGTTTTCTATAGAACTTCCTCGGCTCAAATTTTCCAAGTGTTTTCGTTTGATTTTCTTGATGAGAAGAAAAGAAAAATAGAATGACAAAAACTTGGAAAATTTGAGGCGAGCAAATTCTATAGAAAATATATGATAAGAATAAGTTATAGAGAAAAATCGAATTCTGTTGACCTTTTCTATTGAATGTTTTCTATTGAACATGTCAATAGAATCAGCCAAAAACTAATAGAAACTTTCATAGAAATCCAATAGAATTTTCCAACGAATTCGATAGGTTTTTCTATTAAATTTTTTCGTGCATGCAATGGTTTTCTAAAGAATTTCACTTATGGAAAGTCCACTAAAGTCTTCAAAGTCAACAGCCCCCTTTTGTTATGTTTCAGTCTTTGTAGATGCTACACTTGGCCCTCACTGTAATGAATCTTCATCAAAGGGCTTCCAAGAATTAACAACAGCGCTTTATGTAACAACGACATTGAACAGAGAGGATTTCGTTCCCGGGATGACCTTGGGTAATGTAACAATGAGAACCGTCTTATTGTTTTCTCCTACACCCAAAAAAATAGTACCTCATTTTGAGATTTCAAATGTCTTGGAATAAAATTTTCAAACGTCTTAATTTGAAGCCGGAAAGCCTCGAGAGTTTCTTTTTTTTATTGTCATTTTATATCGCTTCGACTCGGTTGAGTATATTGCGATGATGATCAAGACTTTAAAATGGTTAGATCTCACCATTCTACCCGACCGGGATTTGAACTCGAAACCTTGCGCACGTGAGGCAACGACCTCAATTTGAGACTGAACTTGATACTTTTGCATGTTTCCAGTTAAGGGGACATGTCGCGAAATTTATAAGTCTTCACTGGGCCTTGGGATCCGTTAAAAAGTTTGTGATATATGACGGAATATAAGAATAACTAGGGAAAATCGCCGATCCGATCGATTTTGCCCCGCATCACCCTGAAAAACTATTTTTTCCTGTTCTTACCTTCAAAATGCTCCTTGCGCCGCAGTTTTCATACGATTTTAGCTTTTTTTAAATGTTCGTTACACCCCAAAGAATAAAGTTAATGATCCGTTTTACTGTATTCGCAATAGATCATGAATAAATGAATTTTGAATTTCTTAAATTTTGCGCGTCTCTAGAGTAGAGTAAAACAAAAATTCAAAGTCATTTGTGGTTTGAGGTGATTAGCAAATCTTATCAAATTGCGGTTTAACGACACTCCTTGTCTATAAAATGGTAAAAACTCCTGTGACGGGTCACGGAGAGAAATTTTTTAGAAAAATTCTAGCGCTAGTACGGGAAAAGAGGCGCAAAGTGACGGCCAGCACTAGAAATTTTATTGGGGAAAACATGAATTTTTCTCTGTATTTCTGTGAAAATTTCTATAAAATTTCTATAAAATTTTTATCTGAATCTCCTGCGAAAAATTACGATACCGTCACTTAAATTTTCTGAGTCGATTCCGTAATCGGTGAGCGAATTGTGAGTTCCGTAATTTTTACTGAACATTTCTCTCCGTGTAGAAATATCCGAATATCATATACGAAAATCCTACAGAAATTCTACACGTAATCCGTATAGAAAATTTCTACACGATTTTTTCATACGTGAACTTGCGATCATGTGTCTTAAAATGAAGTTTGTTTTTTGGGTGTACGATAACAGACGGACAGATTCAACTTCACTCATTAATTTCCGAATTAAAGGCCTAAGATTGATAGACACTTGTCAAGACCCCCGATCGGTTCTGAAGACCTGCCTGATGCTGGCCGCAGAGCCTGACTGCGCATATGACTATTACAATCTCGGAGTACTAGCCCCCGAGGGATACATCCCCATCCTCCAACCCCTCCAAGAAATCACTGATCTTCCAGTCGCCTTCTACTTCAACGATAACATTACAAAACCATTAGTGAACATAGCCATTGACTTCATCACCAGGAAATTCGAGACTGTTGATGTGCTGTTAACAGACACTGACTTTGCTCAGAACATCATTATTGATGGTACCAGAGAGGCGGGGATTTGTGTGGACGGTTTTAATAATTTAACGAAACTTGATAATACGGATAATGGCCTCATTGTCGCGGCTGGTGAGGAGAGATCCATCAGGTCGTGGGTTGGGAGGCACGCGGGGAGGAACACGTGGATTATTCTACCACTGGATGATTCAGCGCCTGATGGTAATGTTCATCAGTCAGTTTAAAGAAAAATATTTATTTGGGGTATTCCAGTGGATTTATTTTCAATTAAAAATTCATGGATAACAATTAATTATTCATAATGTTTTAAATGAAAATTCAGGGGTAAAACTCCATAATTATCCATGGAATAATAATAATTATCTATAATTTTTCTATTTTCTAATTTTATCTATAATTTTTTATAGATAATTATCCATAAATTTTTAAGTGAAAATGGATGAGTCCATGGATTTGGCGACTAGTATATTCATTTATACTTTTAATTATTGATGCAATGAGTAGCATTTAATTACGTTTGGAAAAACATGACTTTCTTTTCAACATTCTCTTCTTATAAATAATTGAAATTGTTCAAACTTTTGGAAATGAAATTCTTTTGGCAGAAAATTGAGCTCTGGTAAATTCTGATTATGAATAAATGTATTATGATTTCGAAAAACTGATGTTATTTATAGAAAAAATAAAACGTAATATTGGAAAATTGCCATTTTTCATAATTTTATTAATCTTCGTTAAAAAACACGTTCTGATTTTGTTAAGTTAGTTAATGTAGAACAAGATATTTTATTCTTTTTGAGGGCATTCGAGTTAATTTTTTAGCAATTAAAAATTTACAGATAGTTATGAAAATTTATTTATCTTCAAAATATTCCCCTCAAAATGAAAAAATCAACTAAAGACTTCAAAGTTTAAATAATAAAGTCGTTGCAAAATAAAGGTCTGACGTTTGACCGCACAATTTTGAAAAGATTTCACCAAAAGAAATGGCCAAGGTAGTCAGCAATCCTTAAATGAGAAGGTACATTTACCTGGATTTCATTTAGAATTAATCAGTTTCGTCTGCCATTAAAAAAAAAATTTTGTTCAACTTAAGGATATCCCAGTATTTTTTACAATTTTGTACAGACCACACGATAGATTCAACCATTTTCAATCATCAAATTTGTCAATTAAATTGCATGAGAAAAATTGAAAAAAAAATTATAAATACTCAGAGTTACTCAAATTACATTTTGCACTGAATTGCTATTTTAAAAATTTTTCATTGTTTATAAATAAATAATTGAAATAGTTTAAACTTTCGGAATCCTTATTGTCAAATGAAAGCTCTGATGTTCGACTACAAAAGTAGAAAAGCATTTCACCGAAGAAAAAAAATCCAAAGTCCTTGGATATCCTTAAAATCGAAGTTCTCCTCAAATTCTCCGTAAAAACTCTACAACAAAAATTTCAAATAGACTTTAAATATTTCAGATGTCGTGCCCATTGGCTCTTACATCATCAGGTCTGCGTCTCTCTCCCTTGACCTTGAGGATTACCTAACCCCAGATAACGATGCCGAGCTATTTCACTCTCCCCACCTCCTCGCAATCGGAAAATCCCTGGTTTCGATAGCTGAATTGTTGTCAGACGTCCAGAGAAACAACTGTCCCTCCGGCATTTGTGCCCTGCCCCCCTTCGACACCAGACTGATGAAAAAAATATCCCCAGATGACGTGTTCGAGGCACTCAAGACTCCCAAGGACACGAGAACGATAAAATACGTAATTTCGCAGAGAACTGATGCAGAAGTTGAGGATTTGGTGGATGTTTTGTCGTATCAAGTGGATGTGGAGACGTTCAAAGTGATTTCTAATGTCTCACAGGCACATGTGACGTCTTGTTGGAGTAAAAATACTTGTGAAAGTTGTCTCAACTTCAGAAACAATCCGACGACAACTGAAATTGTCCCGGCGGTTGAATCCGCCGATGAAAAAAGTGGAATAAGACCTGACTACTGGGTGCCAGTAGTTATGGTCCTCGTTGCGTTCGGCACTGCTATATCCCTGGCCGTGGGGGTTTACATTATTTATAAATTCTCTTTGAAGGATCCACTGGACGGCAATCCCACGCTAACGATGCTCCTCATACTGGGAAATATCTTTCTTCTGTTCTCCACGACCCCTTTTTGCCTGGAGGAGAAAGTTATGGGTCATGAGGAGTTAAACTCCAGGAAGATATTCGTAGCTACACTGTCAACAGGATTTGTATTTTCAGTAATGCTCTCTAGGGCCTTTTTTCTAGCCTTCTCCACTGGAGGGGTGTATACCAGCCATATCAATGGATATCTGCAGGGGCTCATGTTGCTTTTTGTGTTTGGGGTACAAATTGGATTGTCGACGACGTATTTCGCCGTTGCTCCGGGGAATTCGGAAGAGACTTTGAAGAGTCCTGTATTCATAGGATTATTGAGTAAATATAGTTCGGATTTACGTGGAGTAGATTTGCATAAATATCATATTCCCTCATATTCATTCCCATGAAAATGACTACTAAAGCGACCATGAACGTGAAGATATATTTTTAGAAAATGTGTGACACAGAAAAAGAAGTAAAATTAAAAATAAAAGTCTGTAATCTTTCCTGTTATTGGTATTACAAGGAAGCTTGTTTTGCTTCTCAACGAAATTTCAGCTCGTTTCAGCTCAATCTGTCGAGTATTTTTTCAGATATAGCACTTTCTCAAAAATCTTTTTTTCTCGATATCTCAAAAACAACATAAGGTGGTGAGAAAAAGAATCATTTTAAGATTGCAAACGTCTCCGTTGCATGGAACTCTGATGCAAACTGAGTCGTCTTCATAAATCAATAATTCGAGATTGGCAGAGTGAAATTCAACAAATTATAAATCATTCACAGGCTTTTTTGTTAAGCTTCAAAATGAGATCTATTTCATTCAAGTCGTGTCAAAATGAAATTCACCCCATAAACTTACATAAAGGCTATCTCAAAGCCGCAAGCTCCGCCCATCCACCAGTCACGGATTTCTGTTGAATTTTCTATTAGTTTTTGGCTGATTCTAGTCACGGAGAGAAATATTTAGTAAAAATTACGGAACTCACAATTCGCTCACCGATTACGGAATCGACTCAGGAAATTTAAGTGACGGTATCGTAATTTTTCATAGGCGATTCAGATAAAAATTACGGAACCCTCTGGAAAAATTCCGTGACAGTTCCGTAAAATTTCCTACAGCCACATTTCGCTCCGGAATTACGGAAAGATACTTGATTTTTATTGAATATTTCTCTCCGTGTTGAAATGTTCAATATTCAATAGAAAAGATCAATAGAGTTCGATTTTTCTATAAAACTTATTCTACGGAGATATTTTTTATAGAGTTTCCTCAGCTCAAATATTCCAAGTTTTTTGTTTGATTTTCTTGATGAGAAAAAAATAAAAATAAAATGAAAAAACTTAGAAAATTTGAGCCGAGGAATTTCCATAGAAAATATCCGACGAGAATAAGTTATATAGAAAAATCTAATTTTATTGACTTCTCCTATTGATTTTTTTCGTGCATCGTTCCGAATAAGATCTCTAACTTTTTGGGAAAAACTGTTGGCTCAATATTTTCCAAACTACTTGTCCGATTTTTTCTTTCAAAAAAGTCTCTCGTCTATCGAACCGCAATAATTTAGTCCAAAATTCTCCTTTATTTTTAGCCTACGATATACTCCTGCTTCTGATACTTCTCGCTGTTGGTTCACTCATCCACAAAATACCCCGAAATTATCGAGAGGGACAATGCCTGTTCTTCACCGCGATAAGTTTGCTATCAACGTGGTTACTCTGGATTTTAATCTTCATCTGCATAAATCGAGATTGGCGAGACATTGTTGTTACCTTTGCCCTGATATTCACGGCCTACGTAATAATAGCTGGTGTCCTTCTACCACGCATCTACCTCATGATAACTCACGTAAAACTCGACAAGACATTTCAAGGTCACATTGAGGGAGCAAATCTGCGCTTCGAGCCCCGAAGACGCACCATACGCCAGGTAAAATTCTCTGTTTAATCGAATAATACTCAGACAGTGTAACAAAATAGTACAAAACGAGGGGTTGAATTTTCATCGCATATCAGAACAAACGGAATCTCCAACGATGCGCGCACTCAAGTGCCTGGGGCTTCTTTGCCTCGTAATTAGGGATTTGCAAAAGTAGATAGTTGGCCAGTGCCAAGGTAAAACACACTCCACAGTGAGTTGAGACATTGTAACGTTCACATATGGATTTTTCTTCTCTGTTTGATTTTATATCAAGCCACGAAAATCATTTTACGATTACGTTTTGCCGATGGAGGGGATAAGAAATCCCACGGGACTTAATCCAAGTGGTAATCCCAATTTCTACGGGAGTTCGAGCCCCAGTAATCGACGTGGAGAGACTGATGGAGGTATCTCGACTGGTGTGAATAGCAAAGTGAGTGGATACAATAATTTCGGATATCGTAATGAGGTACACGAGGGGGAGAATCATTATGTCGTGCCGAGAGTTTGCGTCATACAGAATAATGTGAGTGTAAGGTTTTCTATGAATAATCATAATTAACTTTATGTTAAAACGAATTTATTAAAAATATGGAAATGAATGTATCAACAGTGCCATAGTATTTTGGTACTCCCAGAGATCTTCACACTACTCGAACCATGCCATTTTTTTAGTTTTTCCCATTCTATATGAGTATTTTTTTCAGGCGTCCACAGAGACAAATCACTAATTTCAGAAATCTATTCACAATTATGAAGAATCCGTGATTGAGTATCACGGAGAAAAAATATTTCTCGTTTCACAGCTGAAGATGTGAAAATGACCGGCATTTTTTTGTCATGTGACGTCACATTTTTTTTATCACATTCTGCTGAAAACCGTCAGTTCGCGGATCGTTTTTTGTTCGTGAAATAGTGTTTTACGGCGTGGTAACGCTCCTGGCCAATGAGAGCGCGTCATTTCATTCGGCGATTCGTAAAATATTCGGCTACAATCGGCTGTACGTAATACGAATTTCACGTACAGTCGATGGTAGCCGAATGACACATCGTACTCCGAAAACGGCGCCATCGTATCAGTGAAGCGAATCACTCAATGGTCAAACAGTGGACGAGCGGACTGAGTGTTTAACGAAGATGTTGGTGCGGGCCGTGGATATCTAAAATAAAAATTAATTTATGATTTCCCAAATTCCAGGAAAATCGCTAGATGCATCCGACAGTGACCCAGAAATCGATTCCGAAGACTTTTGTTGTTTGTTTTAATTTTTTTAAACTGAATGTAATTCTTAAAACACCAAATAATTGGGTGCGAAGTTAGTTGAGAATGTTGTCAAAGACTTGTTTTTAAGTAAAAGATTATCATTACAATTAAAACGTTTTCTTATATAATAATTGACCAAAAATATACAAATGATTCAAGATTCAGCTGAATTGACTGATATGATCATTCAGATTTTACCAATAATAGACATTTAAAATTTATAAGAATGCTCTGGAATCTACATTAATCATCAAAATTTCATTTTTCAACATTTGCGAAGCCATTTGAATCACCAAATCAGTAATTAAATAATGTATTTGTCATTCATGACACAAAATTGGAGCTGTGTTATCACAAATTATTTTGTAGTTTGCATTTTTTTGTTGAAAACAATCTATTGGAAATAAAAATTTCCTTCTTCAATTCGCTTGTACACAGGGTCGCCAGTTATTTGATAGCTCTGATCACTAACAATCCCCCCTCCATGTCGTCAAAGTCACAACCAATCGATGATACGTCGTTTTGATACGCCAAAAAATCTCCTATTTTTTTACAAGTTGTTCATCTTGATATATTTTTTCTTCTTTTGCTGTTTGTTTTTTTTTCAGTGAGGGCTTTGCCCCCCCCCCCACCGCCCCCACCTGAAGGCCTTAGCTCCTCTGGACCCCCTCTCGTGCCCCCACCTCCTCACGCAACTAAAATTTCGAGATGAGAGTGATGACAGTTTACAGCAAAATATGAAAAAATAACATTCGTCACGCGGACATAATGCACCAGATTGGCCTCGTGAAAAGTCACTATCCAGTGGCTTCACCCTCGGCCGTAATCTGGTGCATTACGATCTTATGACGAAAATAACTATTTCGTCGTAATTTAAATAGTATGACATTATTGCAGCTATTTAGATGGAATATGACGGTCTTGGTCTGGACTATCCAATTTTTTTCAGTAAAAATTTTCTGGTTATTCATATTGAGAATAATCCCGGTTTCCCTCCTACCTCATCCAATCATTTCCTACGACGTCACAAAGATGTGAAACGCTATATAAATTCCCTTCTTTAATGTGACAAGATTTATGTCACAGTAAATGTCACAATCAAAGAGTGTCACTACTAATTCCCACTTTTGTTCAATCCAGGACACCAAAAAAAATCGTGGAAGTATAAAAAGTACAACAAGTAGTGATTCCGACTACGCACAGCCAAACTACCCCGGCATGAGAGAAAATTCCCTCGAAGATGACTGTCTGGAGGCTGAGTTGTATCTCGACAGTAAGAGGCTCTCCCCGAAGCGAGGACCCAACGAGTCCTACCCCTCGAGGTGTTCAACCCCTCGGCTGTACCAGACTGAAGCAACCATCGACGAGGAGGACGAGGAGACCGAGGAGTCCTCCAAAGTGACGCGATTCTAGTCATTGAATAAAAAACAATCATTGTAATTTATAAATTAACTGTTGTATCCCATTGTAAATAAGAGTGATTGATATTCAAGGAGAAACGAACTCGTTGAAAGGAATAATAAAGCCCCTGTTTCTCACTTCCCTCGACACTGTGATACTCTTTTCCGACGCAGGGAGACAATTGGATTTGTGGATTGTAATTTAGCAATTTGGACACAGGTGCTATCGAGGCTCTATTCAGATACAGTTGGGAATCCCCTGGAATCCTGTCTGATTTCTCTTCACCTCAAACTGAAAAAACATAATCTATTTACATTGAAATACACCGTTGCAATTTTTTCTGTGAAAGTTGAGTAATAGTCGCATTTGCATTTTGGATTTATTATGTTGATCGGTAATTGATATCCCAATTACATCATAAATAATGAGATTGAATAAGAATGTTCAATCTTCAATTTTATTTTCAATTTTTGGTCATCATTCTTTTATTTAATTTCTATTCTGTTTCTAGCTGTCAGAATTTAAGATGTATTTCAAGTCATAATTCAATCCTTAAACATGAGAAAACGTTTGCAAAAGCTTTCTCTAAGAAAAAGCAGAAGACGCCATAATAAAGACACTCCAAATCCGATAAGAAATCAAAATTCATTGACGATTGATAAATAGTCAACCGATATGAACCACCCGCCTCCCGACGAAACCCATTCATTAACAATGAAAATTCACAATTTTCAATTCTATTCTTCAATTCTAATTCAAATCAATTCGAATTCAATTTCTAATCTTCATTCTTCTATCATCAAATTTACATTAGCTTCTCCTCATCAATCCTTAAAGATACGAAAAAAAGCGTTTGAAAAAACTTCCTAAGAAAAAGTAGAAGACGTCATAGTAACCCCCCCCCCCC